CCCTGCTCTGTAATTTCACACTGTCAGAACCTGGATGCAGAGGGCCGGGATTGAGTTTCCTGCAGCTCAGTCAGTTGTGACTTCGCCAGTCAGTAACTGTGGTCTTCCATCAGAACCTCACTCACCCCTGTGTCTAGCTGAATGTATTTAGGAAAGTAATTTTAGAATGTGTGTGAAGTTTCTTGTTCTAAATCCACTCTGATCCTGTATTTGATCATGTCTATAAACCCCTCTATTTCAGCCCTGCTCAGAACAGGCTGTTTCTGTGTCTGTACCTTTAAATATGTAAATGAGCTGTGTCTGACCACGCCCCCTCTCTGGAAGGACTTGGGTGTACTTGGTCTTTCTCGCACCATGTCCTATTGTTTACGGTGAGAAGGCAGACTCAGAGGGCAGAACAAACACCTAGCTGTGGGAGTGTCACCCACCTGGGGGAGGGGCTACTGCCCTTTGTGATGTCATGAAGGGAAAATCTCCAAACGGCCTGTTTGAGCACACATTTTCTGATAAGTGGAGCAGGCTAAAGACGGAGAGGATGGACGTCTCTCATAATTGTTTTTTTTTTTGACAGTCTTAAGACACATATCAGTGTTAGAAAAACATGGTAAAGTGTATTTTGCATGTGTGACTTTTTAAAAGATGAAGAATGATATCGTTAAGTTATACTTTATGATTGTTTTGCAATATATCCATTATCACAGAATTGCTGTATCGTGATATTATCATTATCTTGGGCCACATATTGTGTATCGTATCATATCGTATCCTGAGTTAGCCTACAATCCCCAAACCCTCAACAGTATGTTTTGTCAGTTACTTATCTGTATCACAACTAAACCAACTTGATGGATTCTTACACGTCAGATCTGCTGTTCACTGAAGAGTTGTTGTCGTGAGAGAACTTGAGGAAACTTGGAGCTTCTTGCCCCCTCGTCTTTCCAAAAGTTGCACCAGTTAGCTTTATTTTAAAGTAGGGAAGAAAAGCTGTAATATCATTAATTGTCATATGAAATGCTTCAGATCAGATTTAGCTGTAAATAAAATATTGTGATATTAAAATGTAGAAACTGCTACACATCAACATTGAAACCATTGTAATAAATCTGCTGTGAAGTCTGATTTGTCTCTCAAAGTGGATTGCCCTCGCTGTAATTTGAACTCACATCTGAGTTATTCTGACATCCCCAACCTATCGGCGTGGCTGACTGTGATGTAAGGCATCAGCATCAGTAACTAAGTATGATGTGGAGCCAGCTTCTAGGTTCAGAAGCATAAAAAATTCAAATCCATCATCTACCCCTGCACACTATTACTGCTGTCAAGTCACAGTCCAGAAGTCACTCATCTTATTCTATGGCAAATATATGTCAAACCAGATGTGTAAAGAACTGTTTCTAAAGTTTCCTCTGTGGTTTTAAATAGTTTGGGACTCATTTTGAACTTCGAAAAAAGGTATGCAATTAAATGTGATTTGGGGCAGGCTTATTTCTGTCTCGTGGGAGGAAGTTCAAAACTGCACCAATTAACCAACTTACTCCTCTGTTTAAAGCTGCGCTGCTATAGTCACACTTGATCAATTTAAGGCTGATTTCATTATCCTCTCCCACTCTGTCTGCTCGCTCTTTCTCTTTTCCCCCTCTCCTACTGTCTCAGGCTTTTCTTTTCACTGGAGCTGCACACAAACTCCTTTCCTCCTCTCTTCTCTACCTGCCTGTGTCTGCGGTGAATGTGTTGAAATTCAGTGTATTTAGCTCCCGTCTCTCCTGCTGGCCTGTAACGGGTGACAGTCAGCGTCAGCTCTGATCCATATTCCCAGCAGGTTTCATTGTCGCTGTCTGGCTGCTGGGTTGACCTTTGGCTGCACTGTTTTGTTTTTTCAACTCTGATGATCAGACGGTTGTGTGTCTGAAAGCCAGTTCAACATGTTCACACATTAGCTCTGGATCTGGAGCACTGAGGCCTGTGTGCGTGTGCTGCTCCTGCCAGCCTGAACTCTGGTTACCTTTTATGGGAAAATGGATGCCAAGGAATGCAGACATGGTGAGAGATCATCGCTTCTCCTTGTGCATTTTACTCATCCTCCACTTGTGTTTTTTCTAGTTCAGGTCTCTTTGGTTTCCTTTGATATAAGCTTCAACTTTTGAAATTTGAAATCTTTGTATGTTGTGGATTTTAATACCAGTCTACATATTGGCTATTTTTGGGCCTTTTTATGTCTTTAAGGATAAGACAGGAGGGAGTTCCAGGAAATATTGGGAGGAGGGAATGGGGGTAAAACATGCAACAAATCTGGAGAATCAGACTCGAGCCCAGGATGGCTGTGAGGACTCACCGGACACCTTGGGTTAATTTATCTTGAAGCTGAAGTGTGAGTGTAGGCAGGCTGCCAACAGCATAAACTGACCAGATTTTACAGAAAACAAATTCCAGCACCTCTGGTTGTTAGCCATCTGAATTAAGAAAGAGGAAATAATATAAGTAGAGAGATGAGGTAAATGCAAAGTGTTTTGTGATACATTTGACATATATTCAGAAGGTATTACTTTGTGTTTATGCAAAAATTAACAATTTTGTTCAGGGTCCAGTCACATAAGAATCAGAGAGAATAAAAATGTTTTTACAACAAGTATACAGAGGAGGACATGACTGCCTTAGCTACGCTTCATGTTGCCACATTTCCTGGACATCAGGGAGTTTGGCGTCATCAGACATAAAACTGCAAATGCCAATGTCATGGTGGTGCTGGATGAAAGGTCAGAGGATCTCAGGTCTCCGGAGGATGAGTCTTTATTACAGTTCAGAGAAATCTACAGTATGTTTAAAACTGGTGGTGGAAAATCATCATCATCAATTAAAGGATGGTCCTCAACTTTCAAACATTTGATGTTATCTCTTGAGACTTTTATGGTTACCGTGACAAATTAATCCAAAACCTCAAATCTTCTAAGTGCCGATTTATTTCAGTAGGACTAAAAGAAATGGTCTCAGACCCATTTATTGACATTTTCCTTTAAAGCAACAATATTAAACTTTTTCACCTTTAAAGGCTTTATATGCTATTTTTTGATCCAGCAGATGTCGCCTGTAATTATATTACATTTAAGTGTGAAACATCACATATAAAGACTTTAAAGTGCTGCCATTTCGTTTGGCAAAAATATCTTTGAGAGCTTTGTGATTGGATCAAGCAGCAGATCCACCTCAGTGTCGGCGTCTGTGGCTCAGTTGGTAGAGTCGGTCGTCTCTCAACGGTAAGGTTAGGGGTTCGACCCCCAGCTTCTACAGCCACATTTCCGATGTGCCCTATCAGACACTTAACCCCAAGTACTGATGGTCTCTTTACTCAGCAGCCTCTACCATCAGTGTGTCAATGTGTAGGTGTGACCTGCAGTGTAAAAGCGCTTTGAGTAGTCTAGAAAAGCTCCAACCAAGCTCAAGTCCATTTTCCATTTAGTCCATTTAGTGGAAGCTCGACCCTTTTTCCTGGAGGACGTCTTGGTAAAATGTGAACTCGGTATGATTGCTGCATCCTCCCCCCCAGGCCGGGATCCATGCTTCACATTGCAGGAAGCAAATAGATGTGACAGAGGTGATAGTCTCTCCCTCTGCAAGGTCACAGCCTGCTGCAATGTTTTTGAGGAGAAAGTATTGCCAATACTCTGACAGTGATATCAGCCACATAACAGACCTTTCTATTGTGACAAAGCAGACTCTGTGTAGTGCAGGCATGGTGAAGACATTCCCTTTTGAAGGTCAGAAGGGCGAGTTAGAGGGGGGGGGGTACTTTCTCTCTGCACAACAGTCTCTGCGCTGCACTCAAACCTTTAACCTGAGATATATTTTCCTCTCCTCTTGCTGCTCATTTCAATCCCCTGCGTGTGCCCCTTCTTTCCTTCCGTCTTCTTTAATATGTCACATCTCTCTGCTAGGATTGTTGGGTTGTTATTTTTCTTTCAGCCTGCCAGAATGTGTTGAGAGTTTAAGGACACCAGCAGCACTGAAGCTGGGGCTTTGAATTTTATCTCAGCCATATGGGCTTGTTTTGTCAGCTTTATTTATTCAAACAGAAACACACAAACACAGATGCTTTTATGAAGTGAAATATTCTCCCGTGTGAGTGGAGATGTGATGAATGCACAGGTGTGCAAATATTCCTCACTCTCAAAACTCCAGTGTGTTCTTTGCTTGAAATGCAGAATCATTTTTTTTTAGCAAATATTATGATTAACACTTAATATCAGAGGTTCTATTGCCACCTTGTATTAGTTTCTTTTACGATGTCACAGGGTTTTTTTATGGACCTTGGCTTCACCCTCAGTGTATTTCTGTCTGTGTGTGTGCTGGCAGTGCGTGTGTGTGTGTGTGTGAGTGTGTGTGTGTAATTTAAGGCTGACACTGCAACACTGTTCTCGTATGTTCTGTTTAAGCTTGAGTAACCTCTCTATAGTGACATCACGGTGAGAGACAGCTGCTCCTGCAAAGGCTCATGGGGAAATGGGCGAGCTCTGTGTGTATTCAAAATGCAGCGCCCTCATACAGCGGCACATTTACATTTGTTTTAAGTGTTTCTGCAGTCAAAGTCGCTCGGATTTCGTGCGTCGCTGTCAAATCGGTGTGTTTGTGAGACCGTGTGTGAAATCCTGACTGTCCAATTATCACTCATTTAACTAACGTCACTAATCAGTTTAATGTGTTGTCGTCATAGTGACAGTTACTTGTCTTTCTATCATTTGTTTGTGTGAGTTTCATTTTTAAACAATCCTCACTAAACGCGCTAAAAATAAACGAGATAACGTGAAAAAACACCACCTGATGATGACGTCATATATTTGTAGTTTCAGCACAATTCTTGTGTCTGTCACGAGTCTTCTGTTATTAAGCTCAGCAAGCGGAAGTCTCTGAGGATTAGAGAAGTTTAATATTTGTTTGCCAATTTAGGAAAAAATCCTAATAATATTTGCTTCTGTGTTTGTGACGCGTGTCCTCTCTCTCTCTTCCAGACGACTCCGGGGACGAGGAGCCTACGTCCCAGTCGGACCGCAGCGAGCTTCAAGGCACCTTGAAGATACTCGTCAGCAAGCTCGACGACCTCAGCACATGCAACGATCTGATCGCCAAGCACGGGGCGGCCCTGCAGCGCTCCCTCAGCGAGCTCGAGGGTCTGAAGGTCCCCGTGGAGGGAGGGGAGAAGATCAAGGCGGTCAACGAGCGAGCCACCCTCTTCCGCATCACTTCCAATGCTATGATCAATGTGAGTAGCTGCGACGCGGGGACGACGAGACACAGCCACAGTGAGGGACCATCCGCATGATCAACATGTCACCTAGTGTAGCACGTTAAACAAGAGTCAGAGTGCTGCAGGATGAGAGAAGTAGCTCAACACCCGACCACATCCTGTCAAAATAAATGTCACCAAATATTAATCTGGTAGTTTGCAGTGGCTTCAAAGAACTGTCATCAAAGCAAACAGTCGTTTCTGACGCCGTTAGAATCAGCAAAAAGTTTAATCCAATTAAATGTAATTCAGTTAGTTCTGACTAAATTATTTAATTGGTCAGGAGGCATTTAAAGGCTTAATGTGTGATTTTTTACAAAATAAAAACACTAGAAACTAAGCTAGGAAACGAGAACTACTAAAACAGGAAATATAAACTTAAAATACAAAACTACATAAGACCAAATCCTGACAGCATGTGTCTCCATTAACTGGAAGTTAGTTGGAGTCAGCATTTCCAGTATGGCAACTGCCATCTTTCATAAACAACGGGTGATGTCATACTTACATACGTACTTAAAACAAACAATCTGATCCGTGGTAACATGCAGACCTTCACAGAGCAGCAAGCGAACAAGAAAATGTTTCGGTTGCTTCCTCAACTTCCAGTAAAGACGAGGAACTGATCATGTTGTTGGAGTTAAATGAACGCTTCCACAGACAGAAGGCAAGAACCTGTAGTTTACTATTTAAGATTGTGCAGCTTATAGAACTGTTGTGGAAAAGCAATAGCACACGCAAAGCTGTACCTAATATCAGCTTGCTGTGGCTGTCTTTAAGAGTTATTCATAAGCAAGAGGCTGCAGGCCGAATGCTAAACGTAATCAGTGATTATATTCAGTTCAACAGCACAACCTCGATCAGTAACAGACTGATGTGCTGAGGATAGAGAAACCCTTGGAGTGGCAACAGAAAAATTCCCTTAAAAGGCTTTATATGCGATTTCTTTTGATCCAGCAGATGTCGTCCTTGAGCACCAGCATGAAACCAAAACAACTCGCGCTGCATTGTTGTGTTAGCATGCTAATGCTAGCGATCTTTATTATGCTGGTATCTTCACACTGCATGTAAATTTACCTGAAATGAGCGTGATCTAGAAACACAGTTAAGCAGTGAGTACAGTATGTTATTCTTCTTTTCTCTAGTCCCTCAATCAAACAACTTTTATACACGAGGGGAGGAGTCAGCCGGCCGTCCCGGCGATGTAAACAAAGTGAAGATAGGACTCTGAAAACTCTGAAAACATCACAGACAGTGAGACTCGGGTGTTACACCCATTGTAGACAGTCATGACTCACAGAGTTATTTTCAGAGGATATACTTGATTTATATTATATTTAAGTGTGAAACATCACATATAAAGACTTTAAGATACCATGTTGCACATTATCAGATTAATTGAAGAAGACGACAAAAAACTCCGGCAGGTTTTCAGTTCCCTCTTGTGTATGTTCTGGATCTGATTACCAGGGTCATCCTCTAGTGAACCTGGCCCTGTTCCAGTCTCCTCAATGTTACATAGCATGGGCTTTACAGTATGTCTGTAATGGCTGAGAGATCAGGGAGAGTTGAGGGTCCTGAAGGAGTGATACTAGATATGATATTGGGTCGGTGGGGGCAGACAGGAATAGCCCCTGTTCCCCCCCCCTCATACCCTGGACCCTCCCTGCACGGTGGGGAATGTCAGATTCTTCTGGACTGACGGTGAGACACACAGACAGACAAACACACCTGCTTTGACTAAAGCTGGACAATCACACCAGGTTGGTCTTTCTCCGCTTCTCTCGATTGGCTTTGCAGATACCGATGTTTTTCTTTTGTTTGTTTCTACTTCTAGTGCATGCCTGAGTGATTTTATTGTGAAATATTTGGCTGTTAGTTGTAAAAACCTTTTGCTGGGACTCAGACGGAGGAAATCTGCAAGTACTTTGACCTTAAGATCAGGTTATAATCACTCCCAGAATGCTTAAGTATGTGGTAATACAGCTTGTTGAAGTGTTCTGAGATGAAAAAGTAAATCGAGATTTAATTATGTTCCAGCAGGCCTTTGCTCAAAACGACGAGCCCCCCTAAATCTCTCTGTCGTCCATTTCTGTTTTATAATTGGTATTGGAAATTGAAACTAACTGGACAAGCGATAAAAAAAGACTCTCTTGGACTGCCTGACTCATTAAAAAGCCATTTAGGCTTTGTCAAGTATGTGCTTTAAATGAGGGAAAGTGCTGCCACAAACTCCCTGTAATGATTCTTGGTCTTTGAAATGGCTCTCCTCAAACAGAGAGCAGAGCGAGAAACAGTGTTTGGACTTTTGCTGCCATATTTTTGGGCGCTCCGGAGATGATGTACTTTACTGTCACACATGTCGTTTTCTGAGATTTATCGTAGAAGAAGGCATAATGGCAGTCTCTGTAATCTGACCCTGGTCTTGGAGAGGGTTGCCCTCGTTCATTTAGTGGTGATGTAACTTCTCAAGTGAGTCATTTAATGCAGGCTCTCCCCCGCATTAACACACATGATACTTTAGATAGGGTTAAATGATATAACACTCTGCTCATTCTTGTGTGGCAGGACGTGACATTTAGATATGTGGTGATGCCAGCTCTTACTGCTCATTCACTTTATTTAGTCTGACCCTGATTTCCCTGATCGGAAGTCACATGCAGTCTGTGTTTGCTCTGGAGACTCAGCACAAAAAAAAAGTGGAACCATCGTATTTTTTGAGTGGGTGTTGAGTTTCATCGCACGGTTCTTCCTGAGGAAGTGAACCGTCGTCATATGTGCCCTCTGACTGTTAAAGTGAAGCTCAGACAACGAAGTTTAGTCATTTGATGCAAAACCACTGAAGGTAAGACACTGGCTGGTTTGTTTCCATTATCAGATCATTTGTGATTTACATTCATGCTCTAAGTGGTAATGTGTTTATCAACTAAAGCCATCGAAATTTTATTTTATATTTAAGATGAAATTAAATCATACCCACACCTGGACATTTTATTTTAAATTCATTTTGTTAAAATTGGTGTTGTATTCAAGGCCACACTAACCGAGACCAGAGTGCTCCAAGACCGAGACATTTAGGGATCGAGGCAGAGTCGGAGACCGAGATTGAGACCAAGGCAGGACGAGACCGATACAAGACCAAGACCATAAATATCACTGAAATCATCATCTGTCACTCACTTAGACTGTAACACCGGGAAGGTTGCAGCCTCTAACTGCGGGATAAAAATCTAATTATAAATATATTGAAATGATTTGTTCTGTTCGAAAGTATCTCAGTAATGACGTGGAAAAATAGCCTTTCAGTGGTGGTCTTGACCGGTCTTGATTTAAAATCCAGAGTCCACCAAGTCTGAGACCCGAGACAAGACCGAGTAAAAATGCTTTAGATTTCCAGATGTGACCGAGACCTTCAAAAAGTGGTCAACACTGATTTCTAGTACTAAAACACTGCATAATAACTAATAACTTACAACCACCAGAATATGTGATAAAAGAGTTTAATGATGCGCAGTGTAATATACAAACACATAGTAAAGAGTCAGGTTAGCTATAACTCGAAGGTTTGTGTCTAAAACAAATCAAAATGCTGCTTTTTGCACCAGTTATTGTTTGCAATTAGACCCAGACCTCCACCCCAGAATTAAGATGCACGCATGCTTTTTTAAATGTTTTTATTTTATTATAGTAACACCCAATAGACAAACAAAAACACAAGAGGTACACTTCACATCTCCATAAAGCCAGGACAAAACAAAACACAGTGAAACAAAGGAAAAACAAAAAAACAAAACAAAAACGAACAAAAAAATAAAAATAAAAAAGCAAGACCCCTCCCGCCTCCATCAACCATCAAACCAGTTCCTGCCCTCCCCGATCCCAACCCAATCTTTATAAATGGAAGATAAAAAAGATAGTAAACAGAAGGACGAGTCAGTTACTCAACATATCAGCCAACATTTGTAACCGAACAGGTTTCATCTAACCGGAAACCAGGAACGGTAAAACTAAGAATTGTATTAAAATAAGCGGCGGAAAAATAAAAAGAGAATCACTTGCCAGATCAAGAAACAAGACATTTTGCAAACGCTAAGTAAAACTTGAGTGATGATGGCATATATTTACATGCATATATACAGTCATATACATATATATAAGATGCACGCATGCTGAGCGAGGAATAGTTGTTGTTGTTGCGACGTGATTATTGCGAATGTTCATATCGCGATGATACAAAAAATGTATGTTAATTCCGCAGCTCCAGTTCACAACCATTGAAATCTTTCTCCTCTTGGGATTAGCGTTTACTTTGTGTTTACATAAAAAGAACATAAATCACATTTAATAATTTTCCTTTATTTCATTTTACATTATACTACAAATACAAACAGAATGTAATAAAATACCTGCTTAAACCTAAGTCTTCCCCAGAGGTCGCTTTCTGCTAACAAACTGCTGAGAGTCACTTTTTCCATCTGACGGATATCTAACCTGCTCTCTGGACAAATCACGGAGGCAGTCAGGTCACATCCACCACATCCTCGTTTCTCTTCCTGCCGCCTCAAAGTGATACTGCACAGATCCCAGCTGTAATCTCAACAGCCAGAGAACTCTAGATTATTTGACCTTTGTGTTACGGTAGTCCGTCCAGCTGACACACAGTACTTCTAAGCACTCTGCTACAAATGCTGAGTGGAGGACATTTAATCACATGCTGTCCCTCTGTGGAAAATCACTATCTCAAACAAAATGTTGTAAAATGCTTAAAAGCCATTTCACAGTGATTATTCTGAAAACCCTCCTCTGAGGGCCTCCATGCCGACAGCTCAGTAGCCGTCACATGACATTTTCATGGTGCATGTTGTCGGCTGTGAGGTGTTATTTAGGTTCATTGACCTTTGAGCTCACTGTGATGCAAGGCCGTCAGACATATGATGCGGTGCTGACATGATACATGTGTTTGATCTGAAGTAACCTCTCTTTTGTCTGAGCTGTAAAAGCAAAGTAGCAACAATGATGCCCCCCCTCTTGACTCAACTATAGTTTCTCCTATCCAATTTTATTTTATTTAACCAGGTAAATAACCCATTGAGATCAGGATCTCTTTCACAAAGGGTGACCTGACCAAGAGGGCAGCAGCACACGTCATAAAAAAGCATTTCATGATAAAGAGACAACCAATAAGTTAAGAGAGAGCAACAATTTACATTGTGCAAATTGATTTACAGATAAAGTGCAGAATCTTGATCACAGATTACAATTCAGAAACACATCAGGCACTGTCCAATTGTCTCGCGTTTTTTTATCTTTTAAGATCGAGCCAAGAGGCTTCAAGCCAAATGAGCTCCGCCAATTTCAAGTCATTTTGGAGAAAATTCCATGCGGTGGGAGCAGCAAAACTAAACACTCTTTTCCCCGAGCTCAGGACACGAGACACAGACAGTTTAAAGACATCACGGGAACAGGAAGGCGTAGTGGCTTCTGGTTCTTTGAAGGTGTGAACATAAATAAGAAGGCACCAATCCAATCAGGGGGTTAACCTAGTTCATCGCTGCCCGATGTTTTCTGTGTTTGTGATGCGCTCTGATTCACGTTAAACACAGCGGGGAGAAGCAGTAATCAACGCATGATGACTGCATGAAACAAAGACGATAAATAGGCTTGATTACAACAGTTAACCATGTGTCCTTAAACCTGTTTCAATCCCAACTCTCTCTCTGTGGTTGCTTTAAGCGGACAAGAGAAGAAGGACAAGGTTTTATGAATGAAATGTGTTTCTTAAAAATAAGTTGCCTAGACTGGAGCTGGAACAAAAGGTACTTATCCCTGTGGATTATTGCTATGGAGTCCGGTGCGGGGTACCTAGCAAATCCCTGGACGGGCTCCAGTATGTGCAGAACTCAGCTGCCAGGGTTCTCACCCGCACTAAGCCCTGGCAGCACATCCACCCCCCCACCCTCATCCACTTTCACTGGCTCCAGATCAAGTCCCGCATCACATACAAAAATCTTCCGACTCACAAATCTCAACAGGGCTTCACCCCCCTTTTACAAACAATTGTACAAGTGTGCTATATCATTGAAAAAGCATATCTACAAACTGGGACCTCTTGGACCAATATAATCAGCTATTTTGTCCGATACTCCCGCCCACTTTAGTTTTGTGCCATTAAATCAATTCTGATATAGTAATGAATTACTTGGAAAGTATAAATGTAGCCTAATTCTATCGTTGCAAAGTACTATATAGCACATTGCCACATAGTATTAATAGCTTATCAACAACACGATAATGATGGGGTCCTTGGAAAAGTATCTCACCTGAAAGGGGTCCATGGTCTAAAAACGTTTGAGGACCCCTGATTTAGGGAACTCTTGAAAGATGCTGCAGGATTTTTAAATGCAAAACTTTGATCTATTATTCCTAACAAGTGAGAAGAAACTTGTCAGGATCTTTCAGTGCTGTGTGTGTGTGTTCATGTACTCGTGTGTTTCTCTCTCTCCAGGCCTGTCGAGACTTCTTGGACCTAGCAGAGACTCACAGTAGGAGATGGCAGCGGGCGCTGCAGTATGAGCGAGAGCAGCGCACCCATCTAGAGGAGACCATTGAACAGCTAGCCAAGCAGCATAACAGCCTGGAGCGAGCGTGGAGAGAAGCGCCGACGCTCGCTTCCACCACACCCAAAGCCCCTACCACCAACAAGGGTGAGACTGTCTGTGTGTGTGTGTGTGTGTGTGTTACTAATTCATCTTGGCCTCCATGGAAACCTCACTATACTCAATAACAGTCATGTGTGTCTTCAGGATTTCTTTGTAGACATCCTTATGTAGACGACGAATATTCTTCTAAGTTGTGTGACAAGGTTTTAATTGGATTATTGCTAAGTAAGAGATGGTAATTATTTCCATTAAGGCCTGCTGGTCTTGTAGTCTTTTCTTTCTAACTGTGCATCTGTTTGTTTATTTCTTTGTTAAATTGGATATAACCCAGCATGCCTTCAGCTGTTGGGACCACCGTCTGTGCGTCTTAAACCATTACGCTTTGCAGATGAACCCTGACTAACAAAGACTTCTCTCTCTCTGAAAAATGATACAAAGGTCATTTGCACAACAATCCTAAAACCGCATTTGATTTCTAAACAGGAAGATGTTTTTATTTCTCAGAATAGAGGGATGTAGAGACGGTGGTTTCTCTCTCTCTGCCGACTTTAATAATGGCTTCATAAGTACAGAAACAAAACTAGAGGATGTGTTCTGATCACCTTTTAGCAACCTTTCTTATTGGTTGTCTTCAACAATCATAAAAAAAAAGGTATTGTATTGGTTGTAGCGTGTTTTACTTCATTGATCGACGTCTGTGAGCTTGATCTGGCAGGCAAATCGAGCTGCGCTGATTTCACACTGATATGCTTCTTTCCCCACACTCACCTCACAAACACGTCCTCTCAAACTGGAGTTCTATTGGAGCTGAAAGATTTCCAGTCTCTCCCACTGCTCTGTGACTGCAGGCTCTGCCCCGCACCAGTCCCACCACCACAGCATCCACCTGCATGCTCCAACTAGGGGGCTTAAAATGTTATCTCATCACTCCTCAAATTTTTGCATGTCAAACAAATCTGCGACGAGTGATGAGTCCGGAGCCTAAACTCCAAACACGACTTATGTTCTGGTGCTGCACTAAACGATTCTAAAACCATTACAAACAATTACAGATAGAAATAGTATTTAGCCGTTCTGCAAACGATGCTAACTGTGCAGCTAAAGGATTTCCTCCTTTGATCGCTTCAAGTGGTGCAAAAAAAAACATTTTGTCAAGGACATGAAATATTCTCAAATCAAACAACTTATTTCAGGCTTATACTAACTAAGTCTAAAATAAATTCTTAATTTGAAATGTAACTTTGTGGTGTTAAATACATAATGATAGCAAAGAGGTTGAATGAAAATAACAATTGTAAACTTTGGTTGTATGGTTGATTGTTTGAGTACGGGAGCTGCACAGTGATTAGCGTTGTTACCTCAAAGCGAGGTGGTTCCTGTTTCGACTTGGACAGGAGCCTCTCTGTGTGGAGTTTACATGTTCTCCCTGTGCGTGCGTGGGTTCTCCTCCTCCCACAGCTCAAAGACATGCTCGTTAGGTTAACTGCTGACACTAAAATTCCCCCTAGGTGTGAGTGTGAGTGTGGCTGGGTGTATGTCTTTGTCTGTCAGTGCTGTGATTGACTGGAGAACAGTCCAGGGTGTAACCCCGCCTCTCAACCAATGACAGCTTGGAACAGCTCCAGTCACCTGCAACCCCAGACGGGATAAGTGGTCGAGATGATGGATGGATGGATGGATGGATGTTTGACTAATGAAGGTCATCGTTCAACAGTTTTTTTAATGGAACAACTTGTCACTGAAGTGTTCCCGATACCTGATGTAAGGTTTTGTCTCTGCTGGAAGCTCCAGTTTACACACACATAATGAACCAGTGAGCATACAGAATATGAAACGTTGAAAAACCTGAGAATGAGAGGCACACCCCGAGGGCCTAACATCATTCAGGCTAGTTAACCAGCAGGAACATTGCCAATTTTGACTAAGCTGATTATTCCTTGATTAATTGCCATGGGTACGTGATTAAAGACCGCTCTCTCCTGAACTCTGTTAAAAACAGTCTCACAGTCATGTGACGGGTTGTTCTGCTTTTGAATGCCGTTTGCGACAACTCTCTAATGTCCCCGTCCCGACAGAAGGGAGTGAGAGGCTGCCCAAGGAAGAAGCGAGTGACGATGAGGATACTGAGTTCTTTGATGCCATGGAGGACTCCCCTGCATTCATCACAGTGACGGCCACTGAGAGCACACAGCACAGGTCAGTCACAGGCAGAGATACAGGTGTGGTTGTGATCAGTGAAGACACTTTCTGTATGTGCATGTTCACTTTTTTTTATAATAGTAAATATGACAGATGAAAAGGCCTCTCTTTGATGGCTCATGATGCTGCAACTTAACTTAATCACAAATAGCAGTGCAAGGCTCTGCAGAGTGTTTTTCATATATGTTAACTTTACTTAAAAAAACAAACAAACACAAGAGTCACCCTTGTCTGCTTTCCTCAGTCTCTTAGTATATTTATATTGTAGTTTAAGAATCAATCGGTGCTCATCCAGGGTGCAGCTAGAGCAGGAACAATACAACATTTAAGATCAGAGTAATCCAGCACCAATGAGGCATTACTTTAATTTTTCCTATTTGTATCGTGCCTTGCAGGGTTGTCACAAAACTAGAGTTTTAAACTTTGATATCATGTTTGTAAACCTCCAACAGTTTCAACACCTGTTTTAATACCACGGCAACAAAAATAGGACGAACAGGCTCCTAATATTTTGGTCATTTCATGTTTTTGATTGCCAAATTTTGGCAATCACACCGAAACGTTATAATATAATATAAACTGTGACCTCTCTCTCTCTCTCTCTCTCTCTCTCTCTCTCTCTCTCTCTCTCTCTCTCTCTCTCTCTCTCTCTCTGTCCCTCTCTCTCTCTCTGTCTCTGTCTCTGTCTCTCTGTCTCTGTCTCTCTCTCGCTCTCTCTCTGTCTCTGTCTCTGTCTCTGTCTCTCTGTCTCTCTGTCTTTCTCTCTCTCTCTCTCTCTCTCTCTCTCTCTCTCTCTGTCTCTCTCTCTCTCTGTCTTTCTCTCTCTCTCTCTCTCTGTCTCTGTCTCTCTGTCTTTCTCTCTCTCTCTCTCTCTCTGTCTCTGTCTCTCTGTCTCTCTCTGTCTCTCTCTCTGTCTCTCTCTCTCTCTCTCCCTCTCTCTCTCCCTCTCCCTCTCTCTCTCTCTCTCTCTCTCTCGCCCTGTCTCTCTCTCTCTCCCCCTCTCTGTCGTTGTCTCTCCAGTACATTTATTTATTTATTGTCCTGAAGATGAGTCTGTCTCTCGCTGATATCTCCACTTGTCTTGTCATATTCTATTATTATAAAAAACAACTTGAGTGTTTTCATTGTTTCGACTTATCTCTTGCAACATTTCCCTCAAATCTAGAGAAACCATTAAGAATCATATAAATCTTAAACTAGGATTTAACTTTCCTGTAATACCCAACAATCTGGCTTCTTTTTGTGTGTATTGTGTTTGAATTGGATGTTTGTGCAAAGTTGGAAATGAAAGAGAGGGCTTGAGTCTTAACTGCTGAAAATATTCCGTTGTGTTCCAGGAGATCTCAGAGTAATTTGAGCGGAGCGAGTGGAGGTCAGCCCAGTGACTGGAACCAGGACAACCATGTAAGCTTCTGTCGTCCTAACGAGCTCGACTAACAGGACTGACATTTATGAACACCGCCGACTGTCGTCCTCTCACTGTGTATCCACTTGTGCTGCTTATTTACATTTAAATAGTGTTTTCAGTGTTTTGTTCTCACAGTTCTTTCCCTGCTTACCTTTCACACACACACACAGGCAGGTTTTGTGTGTGCTTGTCAGACACACAGCTGCTACATTCTTATCAATCTTAATTACCAGTCAGACATCTGCTCCTCTCTCTCCTCAGCTCTCCACGGCTCCTTCTTTTCCTCAACTCACATCTGTGTCTTTTTCTGTCTCGAGCTGTCTCTCCTGCTCCATCAGTCTGCTTTTACTTCCTGTTATAACTCCGAGCTGTCCATTAAGTTTTTCTCTCAAACTTTCTCAAACCTTTTCTTTTCTCTTCTTCACCTGATCCCAGATGTCTCCGAGCTATAACGACGTGTCGGGGAAGGAGCTGCAGCCTCGCAGACAGAGGCGGACTCATGTCCCGGACAAACCCAACTACTCCCTCAACTTGTGGAGCATCATGAAGAACTGCATCGGCAAGGAACTCTCCAAAATCCCCATGCCAGTAAGTGTCGCAGGCACGGCCCTCCTTCTTGATTCAGAATGAATTAGTTCAGACTTTTTCACTCCTGAAAACATCTAAAAATAATTACAGGACAGGCTGCCCCTGAAATCTTCCTGACTCGTCTGTTGACACATGTCCCTTACAGTGGGAGAGAGCGTCCAAATCTATAGTGACAGTTTTCAGCTTTGTATTAATGCTACTTGTAACTGGACGTTTTTACAGTATGAACAAGTGAGCGGTTAAGAACATACTTCCGAACCAAGAAAGTGTAAAGCAGCTTTACCACAATCAAGATGTTGCACCGATGCACATGTCATCACTCCTGCCTGCTCGCTTGTGGTGCTGCGCCACACAATGACACATCCGCTCTTCACACAGACATTTAACAAGGGGGCCGGCAGGAAAAAAATCTGCATAAAGTTGGAGGGAGGAAATCGGCCGTTTTGCATTCATACATGCAACTTTACCCAAAACTTTACAGGAGCTTTGTAATGTGTCTCACATCTCCTCCTCCTCCTTCATCCTCTCATCAAGGTAAACTTCAACGAGCCTCTGTCGATGCTGCAGCGTCTCACCGAGGATCTTGAGTATCACGAGCTTCTAGACAAAGCGGCGCGCTGTGACTCCTCCCTGGAGCAGATGTGCCTGGTCGCCGCCTTCTCCGTCTCTTCCTACTCCACCACGGTCCACCGGACAGCCAAGCCGTTCAACCCCCTCCTGGGCGAGACCTACGAGCTCGATCGCCTGGAGGAGTACGGCTACCGCTCGCTGTGTGAGCAGGTAAGAGTTCCTGTTTACACACTCTGTTATGTGCATGGCACGCAGGACACAATCTGAAGTAGACAAGGTCAGCAAGTGTTTTTTAATACATCTCTTATATCCGCTCCACCTCAGAATCAGATTTATTGCCAAGTACGTTTCCACATACCAGGATTTTGAAACATCTCTAAAAATATAATACACAAATATGTGCATTACAAGAATTGAAAGATCCCTAGAGTTATGCAGGAATGTGCAGAGTGATGTTTAGTGTACAGATCTATCTCACAAAGTCTGCTTTCCATCCCAGGTGAGCCACCACCCCCCTGCAGCTGCACATCATGTGATTTCCCAACGAGGCTGGACCCTGTGGCAGGAAATCACCATCGCCAGCAAGTTCCGTGGCAAATACCTCTCCATAATGCCTCTGGGTGAGACACTTCAATATCAGCAGGGGAAGCAAACAAACTACATGTGTAAATAAAGGGTTCCTCCTTTGAACAGCCACACGAGGCAGAGGAGAGAGAGAGAGAGAGAGAGAGAGAGAGAGAGAATGAATCAGGAGGGTTTTATGACCCGCTTGACACGATCATAAAGTATGGGCCCTAAAGGAAGCTCTCTATTGCTCGGGGGTGGCAGAGAGACGGGCTCTGTTGGCTCTGATAAATGAGAGATTTGATGGATGAAGGTCCAGCCAAGGGATGCCGAGGTATTTTTCTGACTTCTCGCACCGCCTGTTATGTATAATCCTGCTGTGAGGTGCTGCTCTCTAAGCGGGGAAACAAAATCTAAAGTGGAAGCATTAATGGTGAAATACTTTGTTATAAATCTTTGGCGGTTAGGTCAGACATGCAATAGATGGAATCGCTGTTAGAAATGTGTTCTTCAGCTGCTGCAGGTAAAAGTGACGCCAGATTTAGAATTTAAAAAAAGGCAAACTCACAACGTAACACTGGTCACACTGGCTACAAAACAGCTCTGATATTTATTCTGTCGTCCGCTGTCTCTCCCCAGGTGCCATTCACCTGCATTTCCACTCCAGCGGGAACCACTATGTGTGGAGAAAGGTCACCTCCACAGTGCACAATATCATCGTGGGCAAGCTGTGGATTGACCAGGTTTGTTTTTGTTTACCCTTCATGATTAACGGATCGCCCACAGAGGCATATAGATGTGTGTTGTTTTCCTCACATGCAGCAGCAGTGTGTGGAACAGAACAGCAGAGAGGAGAGAGATGTGAAGAAGCCAATCAGAGCAGAGCTTCACAATCTCCAGGGATTTATCTACACAGCTTTGATGTCTAATAACACCCTAAAATAACTGCCTCTTCTTTCTCGGAGATGGCCCAGATATGTGGGGGAGGGGCCGACCTCACATCTGCACGTCTGTCAGTCTGTACAGAGCTGAGTCTGTTTACGAGGATATTCTTTTTCTTTTTCCAGGTCTTTGCTTGTGACGTGTGCTAGACCAGTCCCTCTTTTGTTGTTGTTGTGTAATAATTAAGCAGCTTCCCCTTCTTCTCTTTGTGTGAAACAAGAAGACGTGTCAGCTGCGGGATATTTTTGAAATATTATGAAACCAAAGCCACAAAAAATGCAGTATTTCTTGATATTTCTTGGACAGCTGAAGTATGTTTTCAAAGAAAGCATGTGGAGGTTTGTGTTCAATCATCATTTGGCACTATTTGACTTGGTGTCTAAAACAGGAGTGTCAAATGCATTTCCTACCTCATGCAAAACAGAAAAACCTTTAGTTCAAAGTTTTTAATGATGCGTTCCATTTAATCTTGGAAGTCAGAAAATATGAGTTGCCAGTCATCAGGACCTGACGTGTGAATTCTGACTTGGAGGAACTTAAGTAGCCTGAGCTAAAATCCAACACGGCTGCTACGTGCATCAGCAGAAAAGTTTAAGCTGTACACTCGAGTGTTTACTGGCAACTTTGTCTTGTTTAGTTGTAATTAAATGGATCACATCATAGTCCCTGACTACAGAGCACTTTACCCGAATTACCCAGATATAACCCAGATATAACAGATATTTTACCCAAAGCTGCAGTGAAGGGAAGAGAGAGAGAGGAGCTGTGGTCCATTTAAAGTCACAGCTCTCTTTCTGTACTGAAATGTGCCAAAATATTTGTGCAATTTCGACAGTGTGCGAGAGTTTGCATGCATCTCTTTGTCATTCAAAAACAAGAAATTACACAATAATGATTAGCTAGAGCTTTTATTGTTGTTGCTGTGGTATCCAAACAAGATTTCAGTGTCTTCACTCTTTCTTATTGTTGCTACGATTCAATACATTCACCCTCTCACACCACCTCTGCTGCCCTCTGGTGCAGAACAGGGTCAGCCAGAAAACTTCATACCAAACTATGGAAACTATTTTGATACTTATTCTCCACTTTGAGCAAGTGCAGACGATGTTCTTAAAGTACAGAAAGTGAGGCCATGTAGCAAACATGTTTTTTTTTATATGGCAGTGTAAAAGTCCATGAGAATTAAATATCATCCAGCTCGAATTCTATCTTCTTAAGCACAAAAATTACAGCGAAGCAGTCACTGGAAATGACACTGTTTATTCCAGAGAAAGCAAAATAGCTGCAAGAAGCTACAAAAGACACAAATATGAGATGTGAAATTGAACTATTGAACCAAATCTGCTGATGCCATTTTCCTCTCTGGATGCAGCTCGGTCTGTGCTGACACGTTGTTGTTAAATAAGCAGACTGGATCATTTGAGTTTGCTGTCGTTGTCTCTGTGTGTTTGTCTCTCTCACTCTGCCTCTTTTTGTGTCTTTGCAGTCGGGGGACATTGAGATTGTGAATCACAGGACCAAGGAGACCTGCCAGCTCAAGTTCTCTCCCTACAGTTATTTCTCCAGGGACGTTCCCCGCAAGGTAAACGCTAAAACACTACGCCTTGGGTATGACGTCATGTGATGACGTGTTAATTTGTGTGATGCTGCCTCCTGCTGGACAGCACCAACAAATATATCAGTACTCTCTCAGGGGATAATTCACCATCAGTGGATTTATCCAGCATGAACTGCCCCCTTTATTATCTGCCCTATCTGAAGATCTTATTCATAAAGCATGGTTCAAACACGCCCTGTTCTGTGCAGTTTGCTCTGATGGATTCTGTCCATGTACAGACGATGAGCTGACAAGAGAGGGGACACCTTTACAAGATTAACATGAAGCCCATACTTTAAAAATGAGTTTCATCCTTCCATGTGTGAGCCAGCGTGAGCAGCTCGTCCAGACTTTTAAAAACATCACACACACTCATCCCCATTCTTTATAACAGCCTAGACAGTGCGTATGAATTTGTGACTGTATCAGCAGGTGTTGCCCTGGAAGGATCTTACCCTGAAGTATAAAAATAGTGATTTTTAATTATCATTTCCAGGCTTCATTTCCAGATGATTTATCCTGTTTTCCGGTCATGCAAAGGTGGAATTGTTGTCCTGATTACTGAAAAGTTCAGCCCTTATAATTCCCTTATATACTGTACTGTGGCGCAGTTATCACCAACTCTCGCAGATGGTTATTTTTTAACTCTAACTGAGTGGGCTGTTTGCACAGTCAGTAATGAATGACACTTTTTTTTGCAATGAGGCCTAAATGTGTGTATACTGGATTATGTAAATACATGCAAAAAGCTAACGCACAGAGATGCTATTTGCTCTGTAGCAATTTAACCATTTCATGTGCTTTGTTAATTAGACCGTTTCTTGTCGTCTCATTTGCACGAGTTTGCAACACTTTAGTGAATCAGGCTCTCTGTTGTAAAATATAGAAGACTTTAATTCATTCAGGTGACATTGAGGTAACCTACTTTGGAAGTACGAGTTCTTTAAATATGGGGCTCAATGCTGTGCTCCTCAGGAAGAGACTGATCTGGGATAATGTAATGGAAATGTGCTGGTTTTGGAGGCATGTGTCTTCAGGTGCTGAACATTTGGAGGAGTCTCTCTATAATGAGTTCTGTTTTCCCTCTTTGTAGGTGACAGGTGTGGTGGCGGACAGCGGCGGCCATGCTCACTTCATCCTCTCCGGTACGTGGGACGATAAAATAGAGAGTGCCAAGATCGTTCAGAGCAGCAGAGGCGGCAGCGGATCAGAGGGCAAGCAGAAGACCGTCTATCAGACATTGTCCCCCAAACTGCTGTGGAAGAAATACCCTCTACCGTAAGTGCTGCTCGCTCCCTCCACATCGTTATGATTCAAAGACGAGTTAGAACAGCTTAAAATGTTCTGTCCATATCATCGATTATAATACTTCCCTTATTCTCTCAGGGAGAACGCTGAGAACATGTACTACTTCTCAGCGCTGGCCCTGACCCTGAACGAGCAGGAGGACGGAGTGGGACGGACCGACAGCCGGCTGAGACCGGACCAGAAGCTGATGGAGGAAGGCCGATGGGATGAAGCAAACTCAGAGAAACAGAGGCTGGAGGAGAAGCAAAGAGCTGTGAGGAGGAGGAGGGAAGCAGAGGCTACAGACGCTCTGGATGAAGGTATGAAATAAAGAACAGGAAGTGATGTGTTTGATAAGCAAGTGCTGAGGAAACAAAAAGTCAGACAGGGAGGAGAAAGTAAAAAATGTGAGAAGAGAAGGACATCCCGGGGCGCTATCGTAGAAGTCCCATTAATTTTCTGCTTCAGCGACGTTAGGTGAGTTAGAGCCTGAAATTGAATAATCAGCACAAAAGATAAGGCACTGAATCAGAAAATACCTGTTTTCTTATTTAAAAGCCAAAGATCAAAGACTCGGCTCAAGGAGAAAAGTTAATTATGACCCCGAGGACCCGATGAGGTGAACTCGTAATATAAAACAGTCAGCAGTTTTAATATTATTCTTTCAGAGTCTGGGTGAACTTTGAATGACTTTTGCAACAATAAATGGTTTTCTTCCAGATTGCAAGAACAAGAATTCTTGATTTGCTGCTTTCCAGAAATCAAATCTGAGATTTATCGTTATTATATCCTATAAGAGATATCCACATTTCAAATGAATGTAAAACAGATTATTTGTCATAAACTAAATTCAAATATTGTGATGAAATAAATACATTCTAGACAACGTTTCTGGGTTTAAGATTGTCAAAATTAGGGCCCGACTGATATGACATTTTGGGCCGATACTGATATTGGAGAGAGAGAAAATCTGATACCGATTTATCATCTGATATCTTCTTTAGATCTTCGTCATCAAACACTTAAAAGATATAAAATGAAGAAAAGATGGTCACTCAACTGGAAAGTAACCGTTCATGTACAGTCCGTGCGTCACCACTTGAGACAGAGTGATAATGCTTGTTGTAATCCATACAGCGCCCTCTGCTGGTGAAAGAGAACTGCTAGTGTAATCCAACGATACTCAAATAAAATGCATTTTGAATTATCAGCGCATATATGTGGTAAAATTAGCCGCTACCGATAGTCACTGTATATTCTAACATCGGCCGATGTTATCGGCTGGACGATTAATCGGTTAGGCTTTAGTAGAAATATCGTAAAAAAAAAAAACTATGAAATCGGAAAGATACTCCCTGAACCAGCTGGTCCTCCCAACCTTCAGAAGTACAGTCAGGCTTCATGGATTTATACACAGCTGCAAGAGCAATATTCAACACTAATTAAAGCTGACAGCTGCATGTCCAGATAGTTATTACTGGGACAAACAGCCCAGAGAGACTCAAAACTGAGCCTCAGTGGTGCGACGGATCACAGTTGAGCCGTGACTCATACGGATCACCGCCCACCGCCCGGGACGCTCTTGATCATGAGATCGCTGGAAAATGTTATCATCATGGTGTAAAATAGATCTACTGCCATTAAAGCCCTCTGTGTGTTAAAGTGAAAAAGAAAGCAGCATTTAAGTAGAGCGACACAGTGTGTGTGTGTGTGTGTGTGTGTGTGTGTGTGTGTGTGTGTGTGTGTGTGTGTGTGTGTGTGTGTGTGTGTGTGTGTGTGTGTGTGTGTGTGTGTGTGTGTGTGTGTGTGTGTGTGTGTGTGTGTGTGTGAGTAGGATAGACTGTATTCGATGTACCTATGACTTGTCTTTCTTTTCCTCCCTCTATTGGTGGTCAGAGTGTGATTATGACTCTGGTGAGTGGGGGTTCCTTGTGCCCCTCTGTTGTGCATCTCTCCCACACACTCACACACACACACACACACACACACACACACACACACACACACACACACACACACACACACACACACACACCATCTCCTGTGTGTCCTCTGTGTGTTCTGCCTCTGTGTGGGAAACTGCATGATATCCCCTCATGATGATAACTCAGGGAAAACAAAGACTTTTTTTCCTGCACACATGTAACATTGTCATGCAGATTTTTTTTCCAAATAATAAGTCACATGACATAACAGTTGAAACTAAACTCTTACAAGTACACCCAGTGTGCTGCGGCGACGCCACATGAGCAGGGCGATTCTCTGCACTGCTTTGTCACCCTCGTACCTCAAGGGGAGCAACAACATGCCCATTAAACACAGTTAAGAACAAACCTTCATGTGTAAGAAAGCTGCTTTTTTTGTACTTTCTTGGACTGAGTTTCTGGGTTTTCCAGAGTTCAAATCATTATTTTCACTTTCAACATGATCATGATAACTGACACTTAAAGGCTTTCTATGTGATTTTTTACACTTAAATATAAATCAAGTATATCCTCTGAAAATAACTCTGTGAGTCATGACTGTCTACAATGGGTGTAACACCCGAGTCCCACTGTCTGTGATGTTTTCAGAGTTTTCAGAGTCCTATCTTCACTTTGTTTACATCGCCGGGCCGGCCGGCTGACTCCTCCCCTCGTGTATAAAAGTTGTTTAATTGAGGGACTAGAGAAAAGAAGAATAACATACTGTACTCACTGATTAACTGTGTTTCTAGATCACGCTCATTTCAGGTAAATTTACATGCAGTGTGAAGATACCAGCATAATAAAGATCGCTAGCATTAGCATGCTAACACAACAATGCAGCGCGAGTTGTTTTTGGTGCTCAAGGGCGACATCTGCTGATCAAAAAATCACATATAAAGCCTTTAAAGCGTTAAACTACTTCATCAGTAAACATTTGGAACCATCCCAAATGCAGCGGTTGATTGCTTCCCATACATAGACGTCTCCTGTATGTATGGAGGAGGATCGATGTCTCTGTGAATTGCCTGCTCGTGTGGCTTCTACACTGGAGTGTGATGGAACGAAGGCGTCTGACTTGACAGCTGTTCTTCTTCTTGCAGGTAAAGAATACGAAGGCTACCAGCCGCTGTGGTTTCACCAGAGGAGAGACTCGGTCACTGGAGAGACAAACTTTGTGTACAAGGGAGGTTACTGGGAGGCGAAGGAGAAAAAGGACTGGAGCATGTGTCCTGACATCTTCTAACCCAGGAACTCACCCCGGATCCTTTCTAACCTCAGTGGACAGGGCGCCGCTCTGCCTCTACTCCTTTAAGCAAAACAGGGCGTAGCAGGCTGTGAGCACCTTGTGGACCTTTTTGTTTGAGCGCGAGAGTGTGTGTGTTTGACACGCTCTCGGATTACACCGTACCTCCAAATGTGCACTCTCGTTCTGTTTCTACTCCGGGGGGAAAAGAGTGGTTCCTCTTTGACGCGTTACTGAAACAGCAGTGAGATCATGTGTGGATGTGAGGTGGTGCTCGAGTTGTAGCACCCACACAATAAAAGGCACCTGCACACCCCTGAAATCAGGTGCTTTTCTAAATCCTACCCACAATGCACTTTTCTGTATTCAACCCAATTTTAAAACTGATTGGACAGAAACCCATTTCAAAGCAGCTCCAGATTATTAACCGTCAATAAACAGGGACAAAATCATAAATGGACACAAAACAAAACAGTGTCCTCACGTCCTCGTTTTATTTACCGCTACTGAGATTATGCACACTTTATAAATATTAAACCAGACCCATCTCTTCTTTGCAGAAATCATTGCAAATGGTCAATGGCTGCCCCGTTGAGAAAGAAGCCTGCTAATGGTGTCCAGACATTTATGTCAGTTGCATTAAATCTAAAAGTCACGCTGATCCAAAGTGTTTAATAACAAAGACTTTCAGAAACAAATAAGTGCTGCAACTACTGCAGATAATTAATATGACAGGACAATATGTTTTTAATCTCAGCTTCTTTATGGTTTGATGTTATTTCATGCTGCTCATCTTTTCCATTCTTAATTCCAAGTCCATTTTTCTTCATATATGTCGGTCTTTAACTACCAAGAGTGGTTTTGAGACGACTCTTTGAAGGTCTCAGTCTCGTCTGGGAATTGAAAGCATTTTTACTGGGTCTCTTGTCACGGTCTCAGACTGGACCGGTCAAGTCCACCACTGAAAGGCTATTAAGTTGTTACTGGGATTAGAAGGAAAACGTTTTTTTTTTCTAAAATAATTAATAACTTTAAATCATTTGTAGTTTGATTTGTATCCCTGGGTTACGGCTGCAACCTTCCCAGTGTGAGTGACACACCCCTGCACACAAGATTTTTTTTTTGTGATATTTATGGTCTTGGTCTTGCCCTGCCTTGGTCTTGGTCTTGCCCTGCCTTGGTCTTGGTCTTGTCTCGGTCTCAGAGCACTCTGGCCTCGAGTTTGTCTCGGTTAGTGTGGTCTTGCACATCTTACATTTTTAAACGTTTTAAATCAAAAGTCATAAGAAGACAAACTGGGCAAATGAGGAAGATAACGTCTTGTAATAACGGCTGGACAGAAAGAAATCTGGCCCTCAATAAATCAAACTAATGTAACACATGAATGAGCTGTGTTTTTGAAAACTACGCCGAATCAAAACTCTATTATCTGTTTGTTGATATCAGGAGTCGTCTTTAAAACACTTTGGATCTTCATGACAAACAACTTTTATGTGATTTGACAAACTTCTTTATAAGCATCAAGGCGGCTTTATCTGCAGAGAAACACTCAGTCAGTCACATGACTTTTCCTCTCAGTACACGAGACCAGGAGTCAGTAGATTATAGTCCATGTAGAAAAATAATCAAATGCTTCAGGGCATTTTTATTTAAAAGGCTTCAGACATTTTCCATTAGTGATCATAATTAGAAACTCTGCCGTTGTCAGACGTTTAGCAGTGCAGCATTAAACACTCATATCACTTTGAAATTAATCTTTGCATTAGTGCATATCTCTGTTTTGATGTGTAGGTGTACTTTACCTTGTCCTCTGGTGCTCTCCCATAGCAACACATACCGTATCCTGTTACTACTTGCAGTGAAATCGTTCTCAATAATCACACAAAGCATCAAATCAGTGACAGTGTTAACCACCCAGTACATCCTGTGAACCTGCACACCCTCCATCAGTCTCTAGTTTGTAGCTCAGAGGTTTCCAGCAGGACTTCATGCGAGGCTGGAGCTCAGAGGTTTAGCCAAGCAGACAGGGCTGGTTCCTGTAGCTCTGTGCAGTCAGCCGACGCTCCACACACTCCACATCGTGAAGTCCTGTCACCCACGTCTTCATGAACAAGCTGATCTGGGATCAGCTCATGAAGGTACCCTCAGTCTTTTGCCTTTAACTGACTGAACAAGGGAACGAGTCCCCTGACCTGTGCACTACACGTCTCTGGCGACACGCGTTTTTGAAAAACCAGTTGGTATTTTTTTGTAATTCTTGTTAGGAATGTAGAATTCAGGGCTGGAGGTATCGTATCTACCACCTCGTCTATTTGTGTGAATATTTTGTGATAAATGAATGATATTGTAAATTGAAGAATAATTATACTAATCTGAGTATTAATAAGTTTATCTGTGCAGCAAATCATCTGAATGAGCTTGAAGGTTTTGATTTGAATCCAGACTGATTCTGTACAGACGGATGTTTTAATCTGACGCTCCCTCTAATAGGCTGAAGGTTTCTTGTTTTATATTGTTTTTTAAATGTGTTAGCACATTGAAAATATTTTTATAGAGTACTCGATGCTTTCACATCAGTCCTGGTGGTTCAGTGATGATTTCATGGATCAACACGTCTCTCCCCTCTTACAGACGTTTTAAAAGCACCAAGAAAGGAAATAAATGAAACATCAAATATTCACCTAGAGTGAAGGAGAATTTCTGACAAAATAATGAAGCTACTAAAACGTTTGACATTTAATGATTACATAATTGTCTGTGTGACAATAATATATTTTTATTGTTGTTTTAAACAAAGGTTCTTCTTCTTCCCTCTTGATTTCTTTAGGTTTGAACTGTGGTTGTCATGAGCACAGTTTGATCATTCACTCAATACTCTGTGAAGAACGACACGGTTAAAGGACAAATTCTACATTTGGGGGGATTATATTTTTTATTCTTTAAGAGAAGAAGATCGGTGCCTCTCTCATATCGGTAAAGCTGGTTAGCTTAGCTTAGCATAAAATCTGGAAACAGGGTGAAACAGCGGCCCTGGCTTTGTTGAAATGTATCAAAATCCACCTGAAGCTGATAACGAGGACAAAATATTGTTTTTTTAACTACAGGAAGTCACAGCTTCCGGCCAATTTGAAATGATATCGCACATTAGGCTGATAATTATGTGTACAAATGACAAACAAGTTTTGATGGGTTAGTTTGTGAACTTCAGAGCAGTTATCATCGACTGGCTGCCAGCGGGTCACATCCAGCCCCCCAAAGCTTCCCATCCAGACCCCCAGATTATTATTCTCGGGTGATTAAACAATACCCATAAAAAAATAAAATCCCAAGGTGGAAATACTCGAATTAGGTGACACCAACTTCTTCACATCGGGCTTGACAGATGTCGGGCTTATGTGCAAACACATTTTAAAGTCCGGCCCCCACAGTTTGAATGTAGTTGATGACCCCTGCTTTAGGCACTTGCTACAGGTTTTTACTGTTTTCTTCTTTTGTATCTAGGTTAGCTGCTTCCACCTGTTTCCAGACTTGAAGCAGCATCATGCTGAGCACACAGATATGAGAGTGGTATCAACCTTTGTTTAACTTTTGGCAAAAAAAGAGAGAGGCAAATAAGTGTGTTCATAAGTCCTTCAGTTTGACTTACTACTACTTTGCTTCTTTTTCCATTCCCCTTCACACAGAATCAGACATCTTGTACATCGATTCAAGTTTTTCAGAAATGTCAGATACACTTAAAATACTTTCTAGTATGTCAGATATGAGGATGGTCACGTTTAAAGGCAAGGTGTTTAGTTTATTCTATCTTGAAAAGTGTCATTTTAGAGGTAATTCTGTTTCATTGACGACATGAGAGAACACTGATCACTGCTGAGCCGTAGTGAAAAATCAAGTTGAAGCTACTGAAGATTTACTTTAATATATTGTTCTTGAGATGATTTTATATTTGAGAATACAGGTTATATTTTGAATGACAGTGGAGAGCTCATCATATCTTTAAATCGATGTATTTCCAAACGACCTCAGCACCAGTGAGGTGAACTGTACAGTTTTAGAGGCTAGCCGTAGCAATAACGCAGCGAGGCGTAGATTTGTCATTTCACGGTCATTGTTGCTTCAAACAGATCCAGCTGTTTGCCTCCTGCAGAAAGGGAAAAAAAAACAACCAAAGTGTATGTGGAGAGCGTACTGTAGACTAAACAAACCTCTTCGTCTGCCTTCCCTATCTCAGAGGGTTGTAATGTAAACCCCTTCTCATCATCTCTGTCATTACATCACCTAACTCTTACTCTTAACTCTGGTGTGATTTTTAGCTTTAACTTTGATGCTTTTATTCTCTCTTCTGATTTCTACCTTCTCACGGGTGCCATTATTCTTATGTTGATGTTTTCATACTGTTTGTACGCATGATGAGCTCGATTTGTGTGCTCGAGCGGCACACATTTCCCTCTCATTCGATGCTGCTCAGTTTTGAAGTAGGTGTGAGCTAATGAAGACGGGGAGACTTGCCTTGTTTTAAACCGATACCCTGCTCCTCCTTGGACTGTGACTCGCGGCTTCGGCGAGACACGGCGGTGATGTTTTTAAACCAGGATGTTAAAAGTTACGAGACACATCACAACAGCGGCCTGGTACAGGGGGTCAAAATGTGATCGACCTGCCTTGATTACTACTCTTAGTCCCCAAATTCAGGTGTTACTGCGGATTTAACTGAGGTTTTGCTTCTTTATTTTTTAAATTGTGTATTTTCTCCCTTAATTTATACTTGTTAAAACATTGTCTTTAAATAACAAAGACATAATAATGAAAAAGATTATAATAAAGATGTTATTGTTGACACTGGATATTTGTCTGCTTTATTTCCTCTCTTTGCAACACCTGGAATATGGGATAGATTTAAATAATATGTGGTTTAAGTATAATATGTTGTGCGCACAAGATAATAAAGGCTTTATATGTGATTTTTCACTCTTAAATATAATATAAATCAAGTATATCCTCTGAAAATAACTCTGTGAGTCATGACTGTCTACAATGGGTGTAACACCCGAGTCCCACTGTCTGTGATGTTTTCAGAGTCCTATCTTCAGTTTGTTTACATCGCCCGGACGGCCGGCTGACTCCTCCCCTCACGTATAAAAGTTGTTTAACTGAGGGACTAGAGAAAAGAAGAATAACATACTGTACTCACTGCTTAACTGTGTTTCTAGATCACGCTCATTTCAGGTAAATTTACATGCAGTGTGAAGATACCAGCATAATAAAGATCGCTAGCATTAGCATGCTAACACAACAATGCAGCGCTAGTTGTTTTGGTTTCATGCTGGTGCTCAAGAGCGACATCTGCTGGATCAAAAAATCACATATAAAGCCTTTAAGTTGTGGGCATAACATTTTGTTTTACTTTTTGGGCCTTCAGGGACTCCTTAGCCTACTATTCACTGCATTTTGGTTTATATTTACAGTATTTGGTTAACATTTATTTGGAGCTCTGTATTTTTATTTTTAATGAAATATTAATATTTGGAACCAGCAATTCCATAATTGTGTCGCTGTAGTTAAGACAATGATTTTGCCACATTTAGTCCTATAGGCTACTACTTATTTTTTACAGTCTATGCTACTAACCTATACTACAGATAAAAACACCAAGAAGAAGTGGAGAGTTTTTGTTTTTACCATAGACTGTAAATATTACAGAGGATATATAATTATTATTATTATTATTATTATTATTAATAATATTATTATTACTAATATTACAGAGGATATGTTATTATTATTATTATTACTAATATTACAGGTTTTTACAGAACAAGGAAAGCAAACTCTACTCTCACTTAAGGAAACTAAAAATAATATAATACTCCTAGAACTTGTTTGTCTACATTTATGCCCACACTGTCATGCCGCCATTTCTCTCCTCGCCTTGATTCATTTTCCCGCTCTTCGCGCGCGTCTCGTTCCCTGATGTGGTCGCGAGCTGTTTAGCCGTTTCCATGGCAACAACTGACGCTCCTGTCAATCAGGACTCGGAGCAGCAGGAGCAGCAGCGTCTCTGTCCTCCAGCTCCACAGACTCAAGTTCAGCATCGATTTAAAGTCCTCCCAAAGTAAGTTATGTTGAGTTTAGTTCAATCTGATGATTGTGGAATGTACGAGGAGTTTAAATGTGATGTTTTTATTCTTATAAAAGCTAGCTAACATATAGCAAATCAACATCTACTGATGGGCTACCTGGTCACATTAAATACATGTTAGAGTTGTTTAATTACTTTGTTTTCTTAAAAATAATAATACCTTAATGGTAAGAGTTAATAGTTGGACGTTTGTACTAAATTGCCTGTTTTAAAAAGTTGTCTTCAGTTCACTTAATGTTAGTTTGGGGGAGTGGGAGAGTCAGAGGAATTTATAGTCTTCTCAGTAAAAAGGAGTCACTTTGGCTTCAAGCTAAATTGTCTTGGTTTCCTGGACAACTGTGTAACATACCCCCCCCACCTTCCTCATGACTGCCCACCGCCCAGTCAGACCACTGGTGGACAAACAGGGACGTCGTGTTTTTATGGTCCTGCTGAGTGTCTGCTCATTTGTCTCCAGCCTTCAGGAAATGACCGAAACAGACTGTGACGGAGTGCAGAGAGAGACACAAGAGACGGATACGCTGCTTTACACAGGTCTGAGCTTTATCATCAGGACATAATAATCTATGAATACTTTCACCCACTCTTATGTACTTGTTTTGTCTGCCTTCACAGATCATAATGACATCATCTCCGACCTGGTACAAGAACCTCCGACTCTCAAAGTGGACCACTGTGACCTTCTCCTGGATGCTCTCGATGCTCAGCTCGGACAGCTGCAGGTCTGTGATGATCAGATTTCCAGCGATTTTTACGCTTGCATGTATTTGTAAAACAGTGAACGCTTTTTTTTTAAAGCAGGTCCAGCCTCAGAAGCATCATGCAACTTCCAGGGATTGTGATTGCAGTGATACAGGTATACTTAAAGTTGTAACAAACACCTAATATCACGTTCTTATCCCCTCCTGGATATAATCAGTTTTTTTGATTGTGTGTCTTTCTAGCTCCTCTCAGGTGGAGTCAATCCCTGAGCAAAGACACTGGCCTTGGAAGTACAACTCAGACAAACGACACTCCCATGTCTTGTCTTGATTTGATACACACTCCGACGATGGAGATAACATCGGGTAACAATTTAACATGAGCTTCATTACAGGACAAACCTGAAGCTGTTTTAAAGCCAATTCTTTACGGAAATGTGTCTTTTTACAGCTTGTTATTCCTTACGTCATTGCACTACTACATCTAATGTACCAGCACTTTCTTTATGTTTTATATTTTTTTAAACTCTTAAGTGTAACTGGATCCTAACAGGTTTGTGTTTTTTCTGTCATGGGCGCTTTGTTTTTCACTGTCTAGCTTCCTGTTTCTGTCATACACCTTGTTTCTTTTTATGTGTTTGAAGAGCAACAATTTGCTCGCATGGATGCTGAGAGTATATGCGATCCAACTTTATTTGTTTAGCTCTTTAAAAACAACCACAGTTGTACAAAGTGCTGTACAAAGTAATGTTAATTTAAAAGACATAAAAAACATGAGTAACGTATATTAAGGAAGTAAAAATAAATTGAATGTTGAATCTAGAGAAATAATTTTCATTGATAGAGTAGTAAAAAATCTTTTTGCCAGCAGGGTTTTTTGTCATCCTGATGTTGGTTTGTTTACAAAAATTGACATGAATAAAATGTAAACATGTATCAGGAGCCCTCTTTCTACAAGAAGTCGAGGTGAGCTGATGATGACAGAGGTGATGAAGTTTATATCCTGCGAGTGGTGCGATATCTGTCCGTATGATACATTTACTTCATAATCTTTTCTGCCTTTCAGTTTGATCTTTTCCACTCAATCGTTTTTTACTGTGATTACATCAAGGAGGACTCTGTTGCTCCTTTTGCCGTCTTTGATATCTTGGTAAAACATTACGCTCTGACTTATGTGGCGTCCTCTCTCATGTCTTGCCTCCTAAGACTCCTGACCCTTCTCTCCGTCTGTGAGGCACATGTGTAAAGCCACTCAGGAAATTTCAAGGGCAGGCTGTCTTAGTTTTTTAATTAACTTTGAGGCCGGATAAAGTAGGGGTGAAAAATGTGGTCGTTTGTGTTCACACATGCAGCTCACTGGAAGATAAGGGGACATTTTTAGGAGCTTTTGTGCGATTGAGAAAAGGGTTATTGTTAATCTATTCGTTGGTATGAGAGTTGTTGCCTCCTGTCTGCAGCCGTCATAAACAAATCAAGCTTTCTCTGTTCACAACAGCTCCCAAACTCTCCTCTGCTCTTCCCTTAGAGAGAAGCTCCAGCTGCTGGGGAGGTCCTGTCACTCCTGAGGAAACTGAACTGAAGTCAGACAGAAGGAGAAGAAGAGACGAGGAGGACATGGAGTCTCAGAGGGAGCAGGTCATGTGGAGGCTCGAGAAGCTGCTCGGTGACACCTGTAACGTCGGAGGTCTGGCAGGAGAAACCCACCCTGCTTCAGACAGCATCTGCACCGAGGACTTCATCACACGCTTCAGAGATGAGATGGTTGAACTTGCATTTCCAGAGAGATATATTCAACAACAAGACCCAGAAGAAGAGCCTGAGAGGGCGGAGATATCAGACTGTGACACTTTGCAGAATGAACCACAGCAGAAAGGTTTTCTTAATGTTGACAGAGGAGAAACAGCTCTGACTGGGAGGAGTAATAAAGACACAGAGACTGCTCACTATTCTGAGGCAAAGAAGATATCTGAGAGAAAGGATCCGAGGAGACGTCTGTCTGACAGCTGTGCAGTAAATATGTCATGCAGTGAGAGAGCAGACGCTGGAGGAAGATACAAAACACAAGAGAGGCGCGGTGAAGATAACAGCAGTGAGTATTCCCTTTACAAACTCTGAGCAGATAAAGAGATGTCAAACATGCAGTGAACACATGAGGATAGAGAGAAAACTATTTCACTTTCATGCTCCCCTGATGATTACTACCTAGGATTCTTTTTTACTCTTTTTTTAATACCATGCAAAAATGTCTTTTTAAACATCACTCTGGTACATTACCTGAGCATCTTGAAAATTAAACACTTATTGTAGTGGCTATTTGTCCAAAAACAAAACAAAAAAATAAATAAAGTAAGATCAAACATAATCAAATGACCACTAATGCACCATGGGGGATGTGATGTACGCAGGCAAAAGAAGTCCAATGTCCATGCAAGAGATCTGCAGTTTATTTGGTGGTTTATTTAAAGAAAGCAAACAAAAGATCAAAGAAAATCTTGGCTCCTGCTGTCTCTCTTGCGCTGGTAAAAAACCATAATCCCACCCAGGTGCATGCTGGTCCTCTACCTGCCTCTTACTTAAATAACCTCTGGTGCCCACAGTGTTACCCAAATACCTAACAAAAATACTAAATTTACTAAACAAATAACTAGCAAAAGAAAATATTACCCAAAATCTATTCTAAATAAAGAAAACGTGAAGAATAATTAAATAAACAACAACACCCAAATATTAATAAACTAAATACCAAAACTCATTCTAACAACAATTAAATAGCTCCAACACTTATTTTGTTTTCTTTTTTTTGGCAATAGATGCTTAGAGAGCAGAGAATTTAACACCCAGACTGTATTTTTCCTAGGAGATAAGATCGAGAGCGAGAGAGTAGGGAACGGCATGCGGGAAAGAAGCCACAGGTCGGAATCGAACCTAGGCCGCCGAACTATAGCCGCCGTACATGGGGCGTACGCACTAACCACTACCCTACCTGTGCCCCACCTTCTTTATTTTTTGAGTGAGCATTAGTCTTTACAAGCATACATAGTCTGATAAAGATTCATGCTCTGAAGGGGGTTTAACCTTTTACTGCATGTAAAGATGGACAATGTGTTTCTACCTCCTCCTCTTGTATATAAATGAAGCCAAGATACCCCCTGTAACGGGTGCTTTGATCTTGCACTAGTGACGTCATTTGGAGTCAGAGTTTTGGTTTTGAGTTACCGTCCTTTGTCGAACCAAAACATACATTTAGCTAACCAATAAAACATTTACGTTTTAAGATCCCTCAGGTCAGTACAGTTAGCGGAACAGATTGTTGTGTCGCACATTCATGGTTATGAAAAGTACAATGATTCTTATGTTAGTGCTTATTACGTTTCCCCTCACCAGTCCTCCTGTACTCTGCTAATATGGAGCCACATTTGTCAACAGAGCTGACCCTTTTTTTGCGCATCAAATAACTAATTAAGATTAAACTTCTCTGAAAATTGAACACTTAGACATCAACAGCATGTTAAGAACAAACTATACTGACAGAAACCAGGTTTAAGAAAAACAAAATGTGATGTGTGAATGTGTGTTTTGGTTTTATAGCTTAACCCATTTCTCATCTGTTATCATGGAGGAGGTGGAGCTTTTCAGCTATACTGCAGCCAGTCAGCAGGGGCAGCTCCGAACGTTTTAGCTTCACTTTTAGAAAGCTGTCATGTTGTCCGTCTTTCTATACAGTCGGTTGAACCTTTATAACTTGAGGTGCATATTGTTTGTACCAGCAATTATACATAGTAGGAAGAAGTTGAAATAGCAGCTTCCATAGCACTCGAGCCTGCATCTTTAAACTTTTCCTCTTATTTATTTTTCAGTCTCTTTTAAAGCAGAGGTTGAACATGAGACTCAGCGACAGTCTGCCAGTTGTTCTCCTAAGGCCAGGTGCTTGGCAGGTACCTTGCACAGACTACTCACACCCTCAGACACAGCCTTGTTCATCCTCCCTGACATAAACATCCTACAAACTGTGACTGTAGGCGGCTTGTGTCTTTTACAGGTGTGCCTGTGAGGAGTTTTGACACGGTGTCCATTGACAGTGACCTCGACTCAGTCTGCACGGAGCAAGTCAGGCTGCACATCCACAGGCGCCCAGGTGAGAGACTCGACTAATGTAGAGGCAAGCAAGTCTCATTAACAGAGCAACAGCTAACAGCATGAACAATCGAAGAGAAAATTAACAATAAGAAAAGGACCATTAATATGTTCCTCCACAGGATGGCGCTCTCTCATTCAGTCTGTCACAGGCATGGATGACTTCAGTAGCAACCAGAGTGAGTGTGACTCACAAACACAGGAAGACAGTGATCCTCGACCTTCCTCCGGTAAAGACACATCTGTTTGTGTATTCCTTTATAAATTCAGACAGTATTCAAAATCCAATCTTTAAATCTAACTACATGTGTCATTATGTATTTTTAAAAGTGCAAAGCTCTTTGAATGGAAACAGAGACAACAGAAGTTCCTCTATCCGTAGATCACAGCGTAATAAAAGAGAAACTCACAGGTAAACCTGCCCTGCACTACACCAATGTGTGTGTGACTCTCCAACTTAAACGCGATGCATGGTTTTGCAGACTCGTGTGCTCTTTGGAGGACAAGGACACAGATGAGGAAATGGATCACTGGAGGAGGAGCTCAGAGAAGATGCTGTCTGATTGTGCCGAGACGAGAGAGCGGCTCTCTACACTCCAACAAGTGAGAATAAGTCTCCATTGTCCACTATCATCGTCCTTTAATGTGGGAGGTGTGTTAAATATTTAAGCCTCCCTTGTGCGTGTATATGAGACATCACTGAAGTGGTTTCTGTGCGTCTGGTTTAGAAATGTCAGAAAGAGGAGGAGTCACTGCAGCTGAAGACGACTCAGGTAAAAGATGCTGAGCGAGCTCTCTCCCATCTTCAACATAGAAGAAAGGTAAAGTGTTGCATAAACAGAAGTTTATCAAAAAGCTGTCTCAAAAACAATAACAGTTGATTGGTGTTTTTACCCAGCATGCCTTGCAGGATTTAGAGCTTCTGAAAGTGGAGACAACAAAGATGGACAAGGAGAAGAGGAGGCTGGAGTTTGTTCTGAGAGACCACCGAGCAGAGAAAGATTCTATAAGGTATAAAATCAAACTCCTGCTGATTGTATTGAACAAAGCTGCATGTTAACATCACACTACATCATCCTGTGCAGTATGAAGAAGAGTCCTATACTTTAGTAATGCAATATTACATTTGTTTTAGTTGCCAGTTGCAGGAAATGCAGAGGCAGAAGAAAGCCTGTCCAGTCGAGGTAAGAGACATGGAAGACAGCTCCACTCGGTCGTTCACACATTTTCATTTTTTTCTATCAACACTGTTAACCTTTTTTTTGTTGCTCCACTTTTCTACAAGCAGCCCCGTGTGGTCATGACTGTGTTGGAGAGGGAGGAGATGGACAGACAGCTGGATTCGGCCAAAACAGAACTGTTTGCTGAGCAGAGGCGTGCACGAGAGAAGCTGGAGTCCATGCAAGAAGTACTTTTTTCTCAGACCCTTTTTTTCAGTCCATAATTATCTTGAGATAATAAATCTTGTTTTCTTGTGATAACGGGATAACTTTCTGGTGAGCTAGAAACCACAACAATAGTCTGGTAACTGTAACAGGCCACGTCATACCATGCTGCCATTGCAGGAACTCTTGATCGTTTTGTGCTTTTTTAACTCAGAGGATATAAAATAAATAAGTCTAGATCTTGAGAAAACAACCAGATGTCTTATGGTCACAGGAAAAATGAGTAAAATAAAAAGTATAGATGCATGTCTGCTCAGAGCCTCCGTGTAAAATAGATGCAGTTTTAACCACAAAATGATGAGGACATTACAAAACATTTCTGTGAGGTCGTTTCAGCTTTCGTTTTGTTTGCTTCATTTTTGGACTTGATTTGATCATGTTTTAAAATACCTCAAAGGGGAAGTTGATCAGTATGTACAGGTTGGTGTGTTTCCCATCAAAAAGTGAAAGAGCCTATTGTCATTTTCTTATACAGTAAGGCAAAGTTGCAAAAATATTGCTGTCATGATCACTGTAATTGATGCACCAGTAGCTTTGCTTTTCTCCTTGTAGATATTGTTTAAGAAGAAGAAGAACTTGTTTTTGTGTGATAGACGGTGTTTCTTCATGTATGTAAACCTCTCTCCTCCTCTGCTCATATCTAATCATGGAGCAGAAGTTGGAGGAGACTCGTGAGGAGCTGCAGAGGGTCACAGACGCAGAGAGCATACTGAGGACCAGGTGTGCATGTCTGGAGGAGAAACAAATGCAGAAAAAGGATCAGGTGGAGGTGGCAAATAACAAGATCTTATTTTAACACCAAATAATCTAATATTTACTTTCTGTTCACTTAATTTTTTTTGACTGATCCCTCTGTTTTATGGGTGTATCTCTTTACTGCAGGGTGAATATAGGATCAGAGTGGGAACCCTGGAGAAGATGCTGGCTCAGAGGGAGCTGCAGCTGCTGGATTTAAAGGAGCAACATTTGGTCCTTAAAGCAGAAAGAGATGGACTGAAGGGGGAGCTACAACGCTTACAAACTCTGCACTCCAATGCACTGAAAGAGGCCCAGGAGCAAGTCCACAGAATGACAGTAAGTACTGTGGCAAACTTCACCAGGTCCACAAGGCATGGTATGTTAATTCAAATGTATAATTCAGTAATGAATAATTAAGTGAGTGAGTAATCAATCCAGGAGGCACAGTTGAAGCAGGGAAATGCAGATTTGGCTGTGGCTCATGTGCAGCTTATCCAAAATGTGACATGTTTGCAAAACTGAATTGTTGATTCTTCGGCGCAGATTTAGCACAGAGCATTTTGATGTGTCCTCAGGTCAATAAGCAGAGTGAAGCAGAGAAGGCCGTCTCTCTCACACGGCACATTGAGTCCTTGAAAAGTTCGATCAAGGTTAGTAACTTCCACTGAACAAGATAATGAGTTTAGCTGTTTAAACCGAGCACTGCCAATATTGCATTTATTGAATGTTAAGTTCAGTTTTGCTATTTAAATTTTATGTTCTTCTGTAAGTAAAAAACAGGCCGCAGGACTAGGTGTTAACATATGCTCTTCTTCCTCGCAGCTCAGAGAAGAGGAGGTGAGGAAGCTGAGGGATTCTCTGGAGCAGCAGAAGGAGGATGCGAGTAACCGTGAAGAGGAGCTGCGTGTAGAAGCCTGCAGAAAGGTACTTGGATAATCCACAGCCTAAAGTATGACAAATTGTTTGACGGGATTGACTGATACAGTATGTGCTCCCATTCAGGTGCATGAGGCAGTCGAGGAAGCGAGGAGGAAGTGGGAGGCAGAAAAAGTGGAAGCTTGGCAGCTGCACTGTGGGATCCTGGAGGAGCAGAACAGAAAGCGACTGGAGAGCATGCGGAGCGAGAAGCAGCGAGAGAGGAGCAAAACATCGGCTCTTCAACATAAAGTGCTTGAGCTAAAAACAGTGAGGTGACATGCAGCCACAACATGTGACATCACACTCCTAAATGTGCATTCAGCCTTTGCATGATTTTTCTTTTCACCTGACAGCGGGTGCAGGAGTTGGAGAGCGAGAGCAGCGTGCAGCAGAGAGAGCACGAGTCGTTGCTGGCTGTAATTTGTAAATCTCTGAAGGAGGAGCACCAGGCTGAGCTGCAGAAGATGCAGACACAGATGGCAGAGGTGCAAGCAGCAGAACAACACAAGAGCAATTATTTGCAGGCGCATAAAGAGGTTTGGTGTAGTGGAAAAGCTGACATGGTTTTGGTTCTGTGGTCACAGGAGAGTCAGAGGGCAGCGCAGCGGCTCGAGCAGGCTGTGCAGCTGGCAGAGAGAGAGGCTGACAGGCTCCGGCTGATGCTTGAAGAGAGGGAGAGTGGCCATCATGAAATCACAGCTGAGCTGGATCAGCAGTTACGGCACTGCGCCCGGGCGCTCACAGCGGAGTGCCAACATCTCCTCCTGTTAGTGGAGCAGAGTGGAGCCAAACAAAGTTCTGTGGAAATAACCCCCAGGTTTGATTTCCTGCTCTAGTGTGCATACATATCAGATTATTAAAGACACACCGCAGACAGCACAGTGTGTTTTGAAGACTACTTTTTAATCCTTGCGCAGCTCTACAGTAGCCGAGGCTTTAACAAACCTGCAGAAGCTAAGAGAGCGGTTGAAGCATCTGATACGTCATCTAAACCAGCAGCTTGACACACAGAAAGAAACCATCGAGCAGCTGAGGAAAGCCAAGGTATTATTTAGACTGTCAGTACTGCAGAGAGCCTGGTGTTTGCAAATACAGCCTAATAAATCTACACGTGAATACATGCTTTAAAGTCTTTCTATTTCAGGAGCGAGAACTGAGTATACAGAGGCAACAGCTGAGGATGGAGAGAAACCAGGCCATGGATTCACTAAAGGAGCGTCTCATTCAGGTTTGAACCAAAACACTTTGTATGTGTAGCTCATGTCAGTGCCACTCCCACAAACAAAAACAACCCCATGTCCTGTTTTTGTTTTTGTGTCTGCAGGAGCACATCGAGGAGCTAAGCAGTCTGAATGTGGCTCATATGTGTGATGGAGGAGCTGAGGGAGGAGGAGGAGCAGCAGCGTCTCTGCGCAAACAGCTGAAGGCCAAAGACGTAGAGCTCAGACAGGTTCAGAGGAGCATGGCTCAGTGGAAGGAGCAGACTGCAGCGCGTCTGGCGTGCAAGTTTGAGGAGGAGTTGACATCTGAACTGGAGAGGTGAGCAGATAACATTGTTTGGATTTTAAGATGTTGTCATTTTTTGCCTTTTTCCTTGAAAAAATGCCGTCAGAAATAAACAAAGCACACCTGTTCTCCTGTCTTTAAACAAAGTGTGTGCTCTAATGTCTCTCCCACAGGTGCAAGATAAAGTTGTTAAAGGGCAGGTAACTGGTCTATGTAGCCATAAAGACTAGACTACATACTAACTGTCTGTCCTATAGGAGCATGAAATACCTTCACTCACTGTCATGCATTTTATAACATGGTTTCAACATTACCTGTATTAAAGGCAGGGTTGGTAATTTTCTCCAGATCCACTTTTTAAGATTCTGGTTGAAGTTGTCTTTAGGTCCTGACAGAAATGAATAACTCATGTTCTCTGAAAAAGGAACGCAGTCCTCTGTAGCAGTTTGTAAGCTCGTGTGCGTAAGTGAGGGGGCGTGGCTTCAGATGGAGCACAGAGGGGAGGGGGGTGCAGACGACGCACTGAGGGAATGCTACTTTCAAAATCATGCTAGTTTTTTTTAAAAATTACCAACCCTGCCTTTAACTGTTCTCACTCCTTCATGCAGCAATGTTAATTATCCACCGCTAACAACCTTTAAAAAGCAGGTCTGTTTTTTTTTTTTTTCAGAAAAACATCAAAGACCCAAGAAGAGACTCCGAGGAAACCGAAGAGGCCGGACAAAGACGTGATGCCTTGTGCCAAGGTAAATGTTTCACTGTTCCTGTTTGTGAAATGAAGCTCAGTCATTTTAACATCATCACCTCTTTACCTGTGTCTTCTCCCCATCAGGAGGTTCAGATTCCAGTTTGCTCTCCCTCCCTCCACGCTGCTGCCTCCCACAGCTCGTCAGACGTCGCCTCATTTAAGCTGCTCCGTTACCTCCAGAGCAGAGTGAAGCAGCTCCGTGTAGAAAACCAGGCCTACACCTCCACCCCCAAGTCTTCTAATACAACCCCTTTAGATCTGTCAGGATCCTATCTTACAACAGTGAGTACATTGTTTATTATTACCCCCCCCATCAGTCCAAACAGCACTGCAAACATAATAAGCACTTAATTAATACCCCAGATAATAACCCAGATAGTTAAAACATATGCATAATTCCCCAGTAAGGGGCGCTGGTGGAGCAGTACCATGTATAGAGGTTGTAGTCCTCCAAGCGGGCGGCCCAGGTTCAAATCCCACCTGTGGCTCCTTTCCCCGCATGTCATTCCCCACTCTCTCTCTCTCTCTCTCTCCCTTATTTACAACTCTATCTACCGTCCTGTCTCTCCATTAAAGGCCCAAAAATAAATCTTAAAAAAATTCCCCAGTAAGCATTTTTAGGTTGAAAATACATTTCAAAGTAAAAGCTTTTTCACCGAGTATTCAGAGAAGTTGATTAGAAGTTTATGTTGGGACAAGATTTAAACAGGAGAGCTGCTTCCGTCACAGAATTTGTCACACATTTCATCATCCATCTTCAAGCTGCATCTCGTATATTTTGCTTCTTAAATGATTGTTATTGAGGAATGCAAGTGAGGAGTTGGATTTGATCTTGATCTTTCTGCCTCGTTGTTATAAGCGGTTAAGGTCTTGGACGTTCAGACCTGTTTTAACCCTGTTATAATTAAAATCACCGTTAGTGCTAACTGGGGATTAAATGAATAAATAAACTTCGCTTTGCATTTGCTGAATTTACGATCCTGAAATTTTTGAATTTGTTAATTAAAACATTCACTGTCCAAGAAGCATCCTCAGAATCCACCTGCTACTGTGTTCATTATCATTTAAACATTTCATTTGTGCTTTTCTTCATACAGTAACTACGACTACTGATGTCTCCTTTTATAGATCACTCAAGATATTTCTGGGATTCAGAGCCTGTCGTCGATCAGGACGGTCTCAAGCTGAGGACCTGAAACCTCTCTGTGATATAAAGTTCTCTAAATCTGCATTTAAAGCAGTTTTTTTTTTTGTTGTGGCCACATAAATAAATCATTTACTGTGCTGAAGATAGCAGGTCACGGTGACAAATGACACATCTAAAGATTTGGTCATCAAGTTCACATTCCTCTCAGATTTTATAGCTCAAGGTTACAGTGAGCTGATATGTGACATTTTACTGAAGATCATGTGAGTTATGTCACTTAAAAACCTCGTAAAGCTGAGAGTTCCCTTGTATAATCATCAGTGTAACTGCATTTCAATTACACAATATTTAAAGTCCCATATATATTTCAGGGGAATTAGAAATGTGATGTAAACATTTGAATGAGTCTAATTAGGTCATCTGAATGTGACTTTAAAGCTCCTGAAACAGACTTGTCAAAAAATACTTTTTCCACGATTTTTATGGCAAAGATGAATAATGACCAGTGCTACATTCGACTGTTAAAAGAGAACAGGATCAGATCATCTATAAAACATTACTTATGCATTTAGAGGACGAAATAATCCAAGAGATGAGATACCGCTTTCTCCACAGGGTGCGCCAAAATATACTCAAACCAGATCCAGTTCCTCACAGGGGCTTCAATGCCAGATTGTTTAAAAGGTGATTCCCCTATGATCTAAAGCAGTGCTTCTCAACTGATGGAGCCTCGGGACCCACCAACACCTCCTCAACTAGAAATCATGACCCAAATTTTCAGAACATCTTCAGAAATGTCAATCACTCAGATTTATTTAATGAAAAATAGTGCAGTTTAGACTTCAGGTGCAATAAATTGTGACAGAACAAAACAAGTACTTTTTAAAGTTGTATCGTAGACTTTTTGCAACATTTCCTTCTTTTTCAGGCACACATTGGCGACGCACTTTTGGGTCCCATCCCACCAGTTGAGAACGTCTGATTTAAAGTGCAGTATTTTAAATTTCAGAACTAATGCTGAGCTGATAAATAAAATCATCCTCAGTCAAGGCAATTGATTGTCTTTAATCAACCTTAAAATTAAATAGGACAGTTAATCATTGTTTGTGTCAAATAAAAACTGTAACTAAACTAAGACTCATCTGGATGTTTTCTACACTAATGTATGTTTATCATTTGTGGTGTTCCACAGGGGTCAATCCTTGGACCTTTGCTCTTTCTCATGTACTGAATGTAATGATTAAAAGACAAGCTTCGCTCAACAAAACGATTATTCTAGCTAAACTCAAACCTCCAGGGACAATGTAAGAGTTTATTAAAAACCAAAAAAGTAATAACACTATGGCTAGTTTCCCATTCTGGCGATGTAAATATTAAAATACAATCAAATCACAAAAAAGGTGCTTTTCATTGACTTCTTGGCAAATTCCTCAAGGCTCACAGATGATGTACTTGCTAAGCTTTACAGGAAGATTTTCTAACACATCAAGTACAACTGCAAGCAGGAAGTCACACTGCCAGCATATTTAAACACTGAGAGGCAAAGTTTTTGTGTTAATGGCGCTCCGAAGCCGAACATAACAACTGTACAAAATTTAATTTTCTTTACCCTGATGTTTAACCAAACGATATTTACAACACATCAGTCTGTTTGTTGGCCAGGCTTTTACAAAACTATGTACAAACTACCTCATTTGTAAGGGCAACGCTTAATGCCGAACGTTACAGGAACTTCACCTCATTATGGTCACCTTGGAGATGTAAGTATATAAAATTGGCTATTGGTATAGTTGCATGTATTCAACTCAAGACACCGAACCGAGGGACTGTAAAGCTAAATCTTTGTTACAAACACCTTCAAAACAGCAAACGATGTTTATGAAAAACCAACATGCCAAACTGACTAACTTCAAGTGTTTCCGAGTCTTCTTCTAGTCTTTTCAAGTCTCTGAGCACGTTTACATTTCCATATCCTCCTCTCCAGAGTGGACCACAGGAAAGCTGTACACAGGAGAGTGTGTGTCTGCGGGTGGACTGGAGGGTCCCAGGGAGCAGTGAGGGGTGGGAGACGGACATGGCGTTTGCAGAGTCACTGTCTGTTGTTTACGCGGCTTTGGTAACGAGACTTTTCGCTTTCGACAAAAGGGATCATCGAGGGGCCGCCACAACACCAACTCCATGCAGGAATGGCTCCTGGAAGAAGGAGGAAGAAAATATATAGATGTTAAAAAATAACAAATTATTCCTGCTGGGTAACAGTAAAGCCTAAATTCCACCAGATGCCTGTGAGCTGATGTGCATGCTTCCACTGGCTCCGTCTCAGCTCCGGCAGTCCATCCACAACAGATACACAAGGCTTCTTCACCACAAAAAAAAAGATTGAGCCGGACAGGAAGTCCGACACCGAAACAATATTAAAACATCTGGTTAATTTTCAGAATAAAACACGGTTTAGAACAATGACCGTATGTGTGTTTGTTTATGTGTTTAAAATGGTTTTAACCACATATATTGTATTATCTCGTGCTAGGAATTCAATTTTCTCGGCACTCAAGCTGTCCGGCTTTTCTGTCAGTGCTGGGCATCGAGAAAGCAGCCTGTGGGTGTTGTTGTTGTTGTTTTTCATGACTTAAATCATCAAGATTTTAAATCCTAAATATCAAACATGTTTGATATACATGTATATCAGGTTGTCCTGATGTCCTTTGAGCAGATCTAGGATGTTTGGATTGGATCTTTATACAACTCTCATTACAAGATAATCTGGGCAGGTAATTAGTTCTGAGGAGCCACAAGTCAGGAACGACCCCGCGATCGTTGGGAAAGGGGAATCGGCCCGATTATCCTGTAGACTGAGCCGGCTTTAGGCAACAAAACAACTTTGATTTCAGCTCCCCATGGATGTAAAGGCAGATTTTAAAGGTCAGACATTCAGTTAAAAAGACAAAGTTCAGACTTTTTAAACTTCATCTGACCAGAGATGGCTGTTCACTTTTTTTCAAAGATTGGTCGCTCTGTAAGTGTCAAAATTAAAATCCTTGAATTCCACTTATTACAGTTGTTTACATAAATGAAGTGAAAAGGAAATAAATTCAAAATACTGTTAAAAATGTTGTTTCGGGAAAGTCGGACTGTTTGTGCAGGACAGTTTTTTTTCTGAATATTCCTGCTTAGGAGGACAGATTTTATCAAAGGAAGAAGAATCAAATATGACACATACACAGACTGGGCGACAGTGTGCGGCAGGATGTCGCTGATGCCGCGCTGCAGACCCTCCTTCAGACTGTCGGAGATCACCAGCATCGGCCGTCTGGGGGCTGGCTCTACATCCAGGTCTTCATCCTCATCGTCATCCTCCAGTGTTATTCTATGAAACATCAATATCACAGCATTCACAAAAGAGAGGCATCAGTACAGATCAGACTTCGAAACTCTGATATGATTCTAGGAAAAATCCACATATTGATATCTGTTTCTATGGCATGGTAACAAAAATAGAAGTGCTAAGCTCTTAATATTTGTTAATTTCTAATTTTTAATTACCAAAACAATTCAGGGAAACTAAAACACACCGTCTACATTGCACAAATACATTGGCGCCGTTAAATACAAAAATGTAAGGGTTACTCTTGTAACAGCTTTTGGTTCAAAATATGACTGAAGATTTGAAATGTGTTTAAAAGTTTGGGAACTAAGATTGTTTTGTTTTAAAACAGCTTGTTTAGGAAAGTATTTAGTAGTATTGAAGTACTTTTCTACATAAGCTGTTTTTGTCAACATAAATTGGAAATAAATGTATTATATTGTCAACAATATGTCAATTAAAATATTCTCTTCGCTCTACCCTTCAGTAAACTTTGACCTAAACTCTTAATCTATGCATTTGATAGAACTTCACCTACTAGGATACGTTTATTTTTCTAATTGGATGGAATCGGCAGCAGGTATTGCAGTGACTTCCTGAACAGCCTCTTCACCTCTGTTCACACAGGATGAGTAATAATTGGTACAGTTTGCATTGCTACTCTTTTTGTCCAACAGATTTCAGAGGATGTTGGATTTTAGTCAAGAGATGTCTGATCGACATGCTCTTCTGACAAACAAACTGTATCTGCAAAGTCCTGCACAGCCTGAATGTTACATACCTGTCTTCTATCTCCCGAAGTCTCCTCTGAGCAGCCTCTACCTCCATGCAGGAATTCTCCGTCTCAGGTCGGGCCTCGGCAGAGTCGGACCGCGGCAAAGTGGAGGGCTGAGACAGAGTGACGTTCTGAGGTTCTGGACCGGGCTGTGGAAGAGCAGGGCTGGTTTGCTGTGTAGACGGATGAGAGAAGCTGTTTGCTGCAGGCCAGTCGTGCTGATTGCTGGTGTTTGAGTTCTCTGAAATGTCCAGTTCTGCCTCAAACATTAACCTCCTCCTCTTTGCACTACATCCCCTGGAAAAACATGAATTATTCATCATATGATTCATTGGTGACCACACTATATATATATATATATATATATATATATATATATATTCAAATGTTAGGTAGGATTATCTTTCCTGTGCATCTCTCACTTACTCATCATCACTTCTCCTCCGATGCTTCCTGAGGCATCTAGTCTCCCAGCTTCAGAAGGAGGGAAACAGGTTGAAAGGTTGAAAACATATTTTAATTGTGCTCCAGTGTATCTCTGACAGAATTATATCATATCATGTTCATGTCTGATGGAGGGCGAGGACCTCAAACATTACATGTGGTCTTAATTCCCATTAAATGTTTATTGGAGCTGCTTCTGGTGTGCAGACTTTGTCTTCCCATCTTTGGATATGTGTTTTGTCCAGCACCAAGTACTCAACTATTCCGATGTGCATGCTGTTTGATATTTTTGTATGGACTGAATTATAACCTTTAAATTAAGTATGTCAAATATTCAATACTTTAATAAGTCTTTGACACCACATGTTTTAAAACGATACAATCTCTTGTTGTTTTAATGATCAATAGTATCCTAAAGTAAGATCTTTTTTAAACACCTACAGGTCCACTGTCTTATTGTTTTTAACTAAAAGCTGCCACCTGAGAGAGCAGCTGTGGTCTCTTCAAATTCACAGGTCGGCAAATACTGACGTTTCTTAAATCCTATTTTTGCAAAAGTCTATCTCTGAGGAAGTCGCAGTGTGCGTTCAAAAGTAAAGTCAATAAGTTGCCGTAAGTGATTTGTGTGCTCAAGTACTTTCTTTGGATTCAGCCTAGCGTCCTTCTCTGAGAGCAGCGACCTCCACCTGTGGAGCGGTTGAAGTGCGAGTGTTTCCTTTACTACGCAAAAAGTTACGTTCATGTCTCGTACAGCTCTGAGGACAGGTTCACTTTTTATGAAAACATTTTTTTTTAAATACTTGGCATATCTTGTATGTAGGAGAGCAAACAGATGTATTTGTGTGGTATTGAAATGTTGCCAATGTATTTGTATGATTTAGACAGTTGTTACATGCTGTGTTGTCTCTCTGGGGAATTTAGAGGAGCAGGTAGGACAGACACGAGGGACACACGCTCTCTGGGCATCGGACTTTATCCTTTCCCCCCCCACATAGGTGTTCATTTATTTTCTCATGCATGGTTAGATTGCAGGATTTTGTTATTTTAGTTTGGGGCTTGAGATCTCGGATAGTCCTGTTTTCTGTCTTTTGCCTTCTCTAAGGTGAGTTTTACTTCTTAGGTAGTTTTATGGCGGAGGTGCTGAGCGGGTCGACGGCCCATTTCAAGTTTTGCTCAGCACCGTCCCATCTTTTGTTGTTTTTTTGGCTGGAGTCTCCGGACCCTTTAGTTATCCTTCTTCATCTTTTTTGAAAATATTGGGGGAGAATTTATGTTAAATAAAAGCTCTGGGTATAACTTTCAATCTGTGTCTTCTTATTTTGGTTGGCTGTAACACAGTCTGCAGGAGTTTGCAAACAAATCTGGTTAATTTAAAAACAAGAAAAAAACCTGAGGCTATATCAGAGCTTTGCATATTCTTGCACAACTTATCTCAACAATAGATTTGTATTAGTATTGTATCGAAGTTTCAAATCCAGGTCCCCCCCCCCCCCCCCCCCTCTCTACATACCTGTTGGACCTCGTTGCTCTCTGCAGGTGTCCAGACGTGCTGGGGGGTCCCAGGTCAAACTCAGGGAGGCTTGTTGGGCCTGAAAATGAATACATGGCAGGCAGAAAGCCCAGCTCGGCGCCTGTGGGAGCAGAGGGGTGCATGTTGGTCCAGTAAATGAATGACTTCCTGCACACACAACTGATCAGTAAGATGATTAAAGTTCTGTTTGAAAACCTGCATGACGCATGAAGTTATAAATATGTGACAGCTGCCAGCTAGCTAGCTACAATGACAGTGTTGTGTTATTATTAAACAGCGGATAACGTGTAACACACAGCTTCACTTGACGCACAGACCTGTGTAGCTGCCCTGCCCCTTCGTTGTTTTGTTGTTGATTTTTTTTTCGCTAGCTGTTTTCCCAACACATCGACTTGTCACTCGGAATTATCCCCAGTGATTAACAACACTTCAGCGCTCGGCTTTACATCCTCAAGTCAAACTAAACTCACACGACTCTGCCTACAAACATTAACCAGTCTCCAAATGACGGCTCCCCCTGCGGAGGAAAGGGAGGCTGGGCTTAGCTTGACTTAGCTAGGCATTCTGAAAAAGTGAGGAGCGCAAGAAAAGTCTCAAAGCGTTCTAGAACGTGCGTATGTCACGTCAGGTGCATTGTGGGAAATGGAGTTATAATTGACTAGCGGTTCACTCGACAGTCTCAGCGAAATGTTTTTATTAATAAATGTACATGAGATACGTTTTTTTGTTGTGTTAACACTATGGGTTTATAGCATAGACTGTAGAAATAATTATAGTATTATAAATAAAGTAAGAATAAAATAATAATAATAATAATAATAATAATAATAATAATAATAATAATAATAATAATAAAATAAGTAAATAAGTATAGTATAAATAATAGTTTATATTTAACAAGGGTTGCAGACACAAAGTTTGACTTTTTTCTTTTTTTTTAGGTTTGAACAACCAACGGAAGACGGTACATGTAGAGTAAGCACATTCAAGAGCTAAGAATAAAAACGGAAAAATTAATTCTCAATTAATAAAGTTTATGCAAACGCCCCCTAAAGTCAATGCAACTCAATCTTCGAAAATGTTGGTATTTAATTACCGGGTGGCCGAATCTGGAAAAGAAACATGCTGAAAAATAGAAATATTTTGTGAATTGATATATTGCATACCGATTTTGCTTATGTGTTCCTATGCAGGTTGTAATTGGTTGTATTAGGTGTTGACTGTTTGCTGCAGTTCACATAGAGTAATATGTATGGGCTATAGGAAATAAAGCACAACTATTTCTCTTTGCTGACAACTTAAAGCTCTGCGACACATCGAAGGTGGAAAATCTAATGCTGGAAACTCCGAGCATCCAAAGAGCAAGTGAACGCGGCTCGTCACACCAAAGAGTACAGACAGTAGACAAGACAACTTCCTCCAGCTTCCTGTTGTGTTTCCGTTCATCAGCTGGTGTTTAAAGGGACCGTTTTGCTTTTTCATCGCTTTGTTATCACAAAAAAAAAACCAAGTCATGTGACAGAGAACTACTAGAAGCTGTTGATTCTGCCGTCGACCTCCTTACTCAGCTCTGTTTCTTCACAGTGGAGTCTCTCTCTGATAAAGTAAGTCACTGTGTCGTTTCTCTGGGCTTACAATACTTACAACTGTTTATCTACAATACTTTAACAACGACAATACCTGTTTTCATCTACATTGCTAAGTCCTATTTATTTAACATTAATGACATTTTCATCATATCTGTTTTATTTCAGCTTTGTTAAAAAGCTGAAATCTTTTATTCTAACAAAATGTTTTCAGCAAATGTGTGATCTGTTACTTCAACACTTTTTGTTTTTCCACTGTTTGTGTCGCCCAGCAGGTCATCCAACATGCTGTCTTTGATAATAATCACAGGCCTGCTGGCTTTTACCTGTGGTAAACCATGTGGTAAGTATATTTTGATTATCTACTTACAATTACCTTCCATCACTAAAAAACAAATCTGCTCTTACTAAATCTGTTTGAACTGGTCTGGACATTCACTGATTTTGCAATCATGCATTTGAAGTGGCCTTCATATTGACACAAGTTGTGTAATCGTGAAATCTCAGAGGTTGGCACATCTTGGGTTTGAAACATTAAATAGAGATATTACGACATGTGTAGCCTGTGCTTGACATTTCTCTAAATTCTAAACACCCCTCAGTCTTGGTTTCCTGTTTTTGTGACTGCTGAAGCTGCAGTTGTGGTTTTGCCACACTTCAAAAGTTCATGTTCATGTCAGCAAGAGAGCGCTCCTGCAGTGTTTTTATGTCTGTAACGATCATTTATATATATTTTTAAATATTTAAAACCAGATTCTGAAGGATCCAACAATGAGCTGCTCCTGTCACTCAGTAAGACTCTCCTTCGGTCTCTGGAGGGACAAGAAGGACTCCCCAATCCCAGCGTGCACCTGGCTTTACGGCTTTCCAACTCCCACAACCTGGCCAAGGAGAGCGAACACCTGAACACGCTGAAGAATCATCTGCACAATGACCTTCAAAAGTACACCTTTGATTCAGCCTCCTGTTCTCAGTGTTGCTAAACTGTTATTAAAAACACATTTCATTGTGAGTATCTTTTCCCTGTGTTTTTTTCTCAGCTCTCTCTCGAACAACCAGGCAGTGACCGGCCTCTTAGCGCTGTACACTCTGGCTCTGAAGGCGTCTTGCTACGACCTCAACACGATCACGTTCACCGTCAGCGAGGAGAGGGAGAAGCTGCTGACGCACCTGAAGAAGCAGATGGAACTGGAGAAAGAGCACATTGGCTGTAAGTTGTCTTTGACCTTTTGGAGGCCATGTCGTAAAAAAAACTGTTCACCATCCTGTTAAGACCTGTGAGTCACCATGAGGCCAAAGTTTATGTGGCTAGAATATTTCTTAAGACAGAACATTTAAGAAAACTCTAAATCCAGGTGAAGCATTTTGGACTATGAATGAAAAACTAAAGAAATATTTCATAGTTTTAGATGTTTAGTATTTTGTAACCTGCAAAGGCTCACAGTGTTTTCTTCATGTAACAGATACTGTAAAGCTGAACTATTTAAGAAATCTGAAACATTATTGTTTCGCTAATTTAAGCCCAAATCAAACTTTTTTGACTGTTTCTATCCAAGCTTTAAATTGATCGTGACATTGGAGAGAATAAAGTTTTATTCATTTCCCATCTGCACAGCTGTCCCAAGAGTCAGCCTCTAGTTGGACACTTCAATTAACCTCAATTATTTAAATTTAAATCGCACCTTTAATGTTTGCACTGACTGTTTTTTTTAAACATTGCTAAAAAAATTAGATTCATCTAGGGTTATTCTTAAATCTTTTTTCAGGTTAATATATATGTATGTGAGGGGGGGCGTCAGTTTTGTGGTTTAATTTGTAACAAATGTTTCATGTCATGTACGTCTTTGTAACCTGCTACTGGATGCTTTGAATTTACCTCGGGATCAATAAAGTATCTCTCTATCTATCTCTCTATCTATCTATCTATCTATCTATCTAATGTCTTCAACACGGCTGTGAAGTCACATTTTCACAGAATTTCTTCTCTCTTATTGCTTCTGGTCTTTCCGCAGTCAGCCACCGCCCTTTGACCAACTATTACCAGTACTCTCTGGGTGTGCTCGCTCTTTGTGCAACCGGCATCAGGGTCAACAACCATGTCAGCAACAAACTCATCAAGGCGGCAGAACATGGACACTTCAGACACGGAGACTCAGAGAGCACCGGTGAGTAAAGTCTGCCCCTTAACAGATCACATTGGATGACGACGGTGAAAAACTTTTGTTGCCACAACCACAATTTTCTTGAAAAGTGAATCAGAAGAAAATGACCAACGCTGTCTTTAATTTGTTTCTCTTTCCCTTCGTCTTCATGCGTTTGACTTCCTGTGTGAAGCTCCTTTGCATGGCCTCGTTGCTGAAATATAAATAACCTTTCCTTCTCTCTGTAGATACCTATGCCATGGCGGGGATGGCTCTCCAGTGTGTGAAGGATTCTGGCTCTCATGTGCTCAACACTGCTGAGCTCTACGCCGCTCTCATTACCATCAAGCAGAAGCTGTTGGCGGCTCGCAGGCCGGACGGCCACATCGGCAACGAGTTCAGCACCGGCCTCGCAGTTCAAGTTCAGATCTTTTTTTTTTTTTCTTCATCTTCAGCTCCTCTTGTCTGATAGATCAAAGTATTTCTCTGCCGCTTGCTTATAACTCATTTCATTTGTTCCAGGCTTTATTGGCAATGGGCAGCCAAGTCGCAGAGTGCGCTGCCTCGATGGAGGCCATGAGGACGGACGCCAGAGGCAACAAATACGAGAACCCCATGGCCGTGTCTCAGATCCTGCCCGCTCTGCACCAGAAGTCCTACCTGAGTGTGAAGAGCAAGCAGTGCCTCGATGAGGACGGTTTGTGTACCATTGTTTTTTAAAGTCTTGTGTGGCTTATTTTCTCATGGTGTCAGTGTGTTAAGACGTGCATTTTGATTGGCCCATGTCTCATCTGTTAACATGGAGGAAGCCGAGTTTATGACCAGTACTGCAGCCAGCCAGCAGGGGGAGCTCTAAATATTTGTTTCAGACGGCTGTTGCTTGGTCCATGGTTAATACACATTGTTGTTCCTGCAGACACTCTGGTGCTGGAGCCCTTAGATCCTGTGGTGGTGTTACCAAGTGAGACCAAGGTGACGGTGGAGGTGGAGGTGGTGGCGTCCAGCGGGGCGGCGGCCCTTTACTCCGTGGATGTGCCAAAGGGGGGCTCACTGTTGGAGGCCCTTGAACTTCTCCTGTTGAAAAACGTTGGCTTCACGTGAGTTCATACACTGTTTCTTTTCTTTTTAAAGACTTGTATGACTTTTTCCAGAGCGTCCTGACACAACAGGAAGCAGCGAGGTTAAAGTGTCTGACAATGAGCGGCCGTACATCCAACATTATCCAAGAAACACGATCAATTACAAAGGCATGAACTAACAAGTGGAAACACAAATATTTGTCAGACAGAATGTTTACAGATAGATTTGCCTGCCTTCCTCGAAACAAAAAATGCTGCGTTTCTCTTTTTTTAATATTTGTTGTTTGTTTTGCAGGTTTGAGAAGGAGACCAGCCTGTGGGGACCGTTCTTGAGTGCAGTGAACGGAGAGCAGGCGAGACAGAGCGACCGCAGATACTGGCACCTCTCGTCTGATGGCACAGCTCTCAGTCAGGGTGAGGAGCACACACACACACACACACACACACACACACACACACACACACACACACACACACACACACACACACACACACACACACACACACACACACACACACACACACACACACAGCTCCTCCTGGAAATATCTGGAGTTTTTCTGCGTGTGAAAGTCCTATCTGAGATTTAACATCATATCTTTATCTTTGTGTATTTGATCTGTCGCTTTAATTGTTACCTGTTAAAATAAAAAATGTTGTTTTTTTCTCCTTCAGGTGTGAGTGATTACAAGATCGAGGCGCCTCAAAAGATCACCATCAGAAACACGACCTACTGAGCGTCCGACGCTGAAGAGGCAGCAGAGTCTGATGATCAGTTTGAGGTTTTTTTTTTTTCTGTTTTTTTTATTTTGTGATTTTACTTCAATTTTTTGTTATCAGTTGTGCATGAATGTCTCTGTGGCTTCTTAAGGGTTTAGCATTTCAAGAAGGATTGAGGCTTCAATAAAAGAGAATTTAGAACAAACTGAAGAGAATCTGCTGTGAATACTCTCACCTCATCGTTTACAGTTTCATCTGAAATCATGGATTGTGAAAATGTTTGATTAAATGTAACGCACGGCGTAATTGCACTTTAAAAACAAATAAAAACTGGGAATGCTTTTTTTGAAACGAAGAGTTTTGTTTTTGTTTCCAAACTTAAGATAAGCCTCGACACATTAGATTCTATTAAAAATGTGTCTATAAGAAGAGTACTCTGTTTTTAATTACATTTATTTGGAACTTTGAATTCTTCTTTTAATGGATTTAATAAATACATTGATAATAAAAAGTTGATTTATTACGACGGAGATTAGGGCCACGTTAAAAAAATAATAATTAAATTTCAAGATTAAAGTCGTAAATTTACGAGAATAAAGTCGTACATTTACGAGATTAGATTAAAGTCGTAAATTTACAATTTTAATCTCGTAAATGTACGACTTTAATCTTGGAAATTAAAAAAAATAAAAATTAATTTCGATTTAAAGTCGTTAATTTACGACTTTATTCTCGTAAATTTACGACTTTAATCTCGAAATTAAAAAAAAAAAAAGAATTTTAACGTGGCCCTAATCCTCTGTCGTAATTTATAAGAATCAAACATAAATTAAATTAAAGTTCTTTTATGTTGGTTTTTACATCTTTATTTTTTTTTCTGAGAATTATTTGAGATGCATTTTATTTTATTTTTTTATTCATTTTAATATAAATTTGGCCTTCACTCCAGGACGGTAGGTGGCGGTAATGCATCGAAATAATCCCTGGTTGCAACCATTTAACGAAGCAGAAGAAGAAAAAAAAAAAGGAAAACGAAGAAGAAGGAGATCCGATTTGATTTTATAATCTTAAGATTTTAATTTAATTCGTTGAATATGCGACACTGTGAACATAAACCTTCATATCGGTGTTTATAAATGTAATAATTCTAAAACATGAAGCTGTGAAAGTTCCTGGTTCACGGTGGAGAGGATGATCGACTCACCATGAGGTCAACTTTAACTTTGTAACATCAGCAGACACTAACAGATGATGTCTGCCCTGCTTTGCCGTGTTCCAACATGTACAGCAGGTCTGAAAAGGTTTGGATTTGACACCATGATGGCTCAGAGGTCAGGCAGACTCGGTGCTTCCTGCTCCAGGTGTCTCTCAGTCTCTGCTCGACCTGCTCCAGTGAAGAGAGTCTCCATCGAGGGCAACATAGGTGAGAAGAACACAAAACAACACCTGGGACCTCTAAAGGAAGAGCCAAGTGTCCCACAGGTAGACTACTTTAACATAATCACACATGAGGTCACAGGTGAGATTGAGAGGAGCTCAGGTGTTCATCAGAGAGTCAGTGCACTCTTCTCAATCACTTCTTCAAACTCACTTTTATAAACTTGCTTTTATGTGATTTCTCCTTTAAAGATCTGTCTCTTCTTTTTATTATTTTATTGCTTTTAACGCCTTTTTATCTTTCTCTTCTTTAAATGTTTTTATGTGTCTCTTCCTGGATTCATTTTACTGATCTTAGTCTTTTTTAAATTCCTCCTTTTATGGTTTGACTCTTCAGCTCTCTGTTGTTTTATTCATTTATCTGATGTCCTGTTTATCTCTTCTTTTATCTTCCTCATGTGTTTCCAGCCTGTGATGAGATGTCGTCACACTCTCTTCTCTCCTGATTGATTTTAAATTCATTTTCCTTCATTGTTTTGAACCGCCTCTCCACACCTGCCTCTCTCCTCTTATTCCTGTTACAGTTTTATAACTTTGCCGTCTGTGTTGATCTCTGTTCTGTTGTTGTGTCACAGCACTTTGTAAACATTTGTTTTTAAAGGTGCTATATAAATAGAAATGAGTGAATGAGTGGATGAATACCTCTCTCATGTCTCTGTGTTATCATACCAGCTGTTGGAAAGTCGACCTTTTCAAGACTCCTGCAGTCGGCTTGTTCAGACTGGGAGGTGATGGCAGAGCCAGTCAGTAGGTGGCAGAACATCGAGAGCGGCACCTCCAAGGTGAGCACATCTTCACCTTGTTTTTTTTTTTCTCCACCATTATTGGAAGTAGAACTCGCTGATCGTCTCCAATGGCGTTTATTATGACAAGGTGAGCGACGGAGCGCCCCCGCAGACGACAGTCAGCAACCTGCTGCAGATGATGTACCAGGACCCTCAGCGCTGGTCGTACACATTTCAGACGTTTTCATGCATGAGCCGACTGAGGACGCAGCTGCAGCCTCCTCCAGCCCGCCTGCTCGGCTCGGAGGGAACGCCCGTGCAGGTGTATGAACGCTCGGTCTACAGCGACAGGTGAGCGAGTCAGGACAGAGGAGATACAGGAATTCATTGTGACACTATAAGTGTTGTTAATAATTCAAAATAATGCTCAGGATTAGGGATGTGATGATAAACACAGATTATCATGATGCTGGGTTTTATGTGGAACTCAGATTAAAGTCAAATTATGAATAAATATTTCTTTTATTTCGATTCTGTGACAGTAAAAATGTTAAATATGGAATGCCAGTTTAGCTCAGTGGTTAAATCGTGTGACCCCATGCAGGCGTTAACCCTCGAAATACCATAACCAGGTTCAATTTCCACCCTCAGCCATTAGCAGCATGTCACCCCCCTCTCTCTCTCCCCGTGGGCGACTCCATCCACTGTCCTGTCCTCTTCATGAAGCCATGACCCGCCCACTGCCACCCCCAAAACATCTTGAAAATAAAGACAAAACATTTATATTTTTGAATAGTTTTTTTCTCTGCTGGTTACAAATGGAGTATTAGCATACACCTTTTTATCTCAACAATTTGAATTGACCCTTATATTTGTATAGATTTTCAATTGTTACATTCTTCCTCAGGATAGACTTTGTAGGAAATTGATATATGTGCCTCTAGTCTTTTAAAGAAAGATAAACTTTAAGGGGAATAGCTCAAAAAACAGGAAACAGGAACATAATTATCAAAAATAACAAGAGGTTAAAAATCAAACATATCATCAGTTAAATAAAGGGAGAGAAAATACAATAATAGAATAATACCAGGTGTGTACACTTCCACATGTGGAAAGAGTTGTTCTATATTTACTGTTTAAATAAACAGGAAAATGTATTTTGCTGTCATCACCTTCCTCTCTCTCTACTTTCAGATACATCTTTGCCCTGAACATGTTTGAGCTCGGCTGCATCAACTCCACAGAGTGGGCCGTCTATCAGGACTGGCACTCCCTGCTGGTGGAGGAGTTTGGCCACCAGGTGGAGCTAGAGGGCATCATCTACCTCCGAGCTCCTCCACAGGTACTCACACATCAGATTTAACGGGATAATGAATCCTACAACAACCGATGAGAACACAGAGACGTTTGTGTGTTTTTTCTTATTTTCAGAAATGCATGGAGCGTCTGGAGCGGCGAGGGAGGGCGGAGGAGGAGGGAGTGAAGCTGGACTATCTGGACAAGCTGCACGTTCAACACGAGAGGTGGCTCGTTGAGAAGAGCACTGAGTGAGTAGACAACTAGAAAAAAATCACATGACTGTTAAAGTTCAGGATCAAGGTGGATTTTAACTGACTGAGTTAAAACGTCTATACTGACATAATTTCAAACTGTGAAATATTATCACCAAGCTGCTGGAGTCAGATTCCTGTTTGACGATTGGTTTAAAACGTCTTCCCTCTCAGCTGTTTGTCGCTCGTCTTGTGAACAGATGACGGTCAGCAGTGTGTGGTCCGGACTTAAAGCTGAGCTCTCTCTCTCTCTTTCTTTTCAGAATACATTTTGAGAAGTTGAAACAGATTCCCGTGTTACAACTCGATGCCAGTGTGGAGTTTCAGAGGGACCCAGAGGTGCGGGAACAATTCATAACAAAGGTATGTTCAATGATTGTACCTCGATACAGAGAGTGCCATACCCAGCACAACCAACAGAGGGCTCTGTCCCAATCTTTCCTCATCCTCACAGTCACCAGCCCTTCTGAACATTTGGTGGAAAAGTCTGAAATCTTCCCGAGTTGCTCTCTCACAGCAGATTTTCCTTGAGGGACTGGAGGGGTGTAACACGATGTAAACAGGCCGCTATGATGACACTTTTTGCCTTTATTGAGGAATCTGACAGTCGACATGCAGGCGCTGCCACCTTGCAGTGGGCATCTCAGCGTCTGCTGCTGACGATGACAGAGGCATAACAAGTCGCAAAAGACGATAGCAGCTGATGAAATTTTACATTTCTAAGCTCTTACGTAAGAAGTATAGAGAAACAGAGATATAACTTGACCATCTGCCACATAGGGGATGAAGTGCTGCTTAAAGGCTTTCTATGTGATGTTTCACACTTAAATATAATATAAATCAAGTATCTCCTCTGAAAATAACTCTGTGAGTCATGACTGTCTACAATGGGTGTAACACCCGAGTCCCACTGTCTGTGATGTTTTCAGAGTTTTCAGAGTCCTATCTTCAGTTTGTTTACATCGCCCGGACGGCCGGCTGACTCCTCCCCTCGTGTATAAAAGTTGTTTAATTGAGGGACTAGAGAAAAGAAGAATAACATACTGTACTCACTGCTTAACTGTGTTTCTAGATCACGCTCATTTCAGGTAAATTTACATGCAGTGTGAAGATACCAGCATAATAAAGATCACTAGCATTAGCATGCTAACACAACAATGCAGCGCAAGTTGTTTTGGTTTCATGCTGGTGCTCAAGGGCGACATCTGCTGGATCAAAAAATCACATATAAAGACTTTAATATAAAGTTATTCTACCAGATTTTTAGGCACATTTATATTGTCTTCTTTAATCTAATGCAGTTGATCTGTAGATCGATGGATACTTTATTGATCCATGACATGAGAAGGTTTAATGTGGTTTAACGTGGTTTAACGTCACACACTGGCCGGGTGATGAACAACTTAACACCATTACTCATCCCCTCCTCTTCCTCACAGTGAAATGTCTCGATGTTTACCTGCTACATTCACACATCAGCTCACTAAGACCTCTTAAAGACATTCTACAAAAAGTCTGAATAAAGTCAGGGTGGAACATGTTGACGTTCAAACATGCAGATAACCCTCAAAACTCTCTGGATGTTTTTCAGTTAGTTTTATGAATGTGTGAAAAGCTAACAGACACATTTCTTTGTTTTTTGCTCCGGTGTTCGACGTGTCTGATCCGCGCTCACCTTTTCACAGGTGAAGAACTTCTTCAACGCTTTGTGAAGAGACGGCGAGTTCAGCTCCTGAAACCAGTCAGACCTCCGACAGCACAGCTCTGTGGTGCGGTCCATTCCAAGATGCCAGTTTGATACGTCATCAGGACCTTACTTCTTGTTAGTTCTGATCTTCAGATTTAAAGCTTTTTGTTGTTTACTTGTTTATTTGTTTGTAGTTAAGATACTCCATCGTTGTACTGTTTGTTACACTTGAAATACTGATAACGGTTCCTCTCTCTTAACACAATAAAACACACATCTTAGTGACTGAAATGCAAATGTTAATGTGATTTTACAACCTCAGTTTGTTTAATAAAGGGAAAGTATGGATCCAGTCAAACTGTGTACATTGATAGTGAATAAAATAAATTGCTTTTTTGTGATGTTTTGTTTCTCTTTGTGTGGCTTGGCACGTTGTTTGTAACACAGAGGTGCTAATGGGTGTACAAGCATTTAAAGTGTTATTTGTTAATGAATTTTAACATCTCAAAGGGATTAGCCTCCTGAAGGAGCACAAAAGGTGGAGCCCTCTTGACAGGACAATGACCTTGGCTAAATGTTGTCTTTTCCCCTTCCCTGTGATGTGCTCTGGTGATCAGAGGGGGGCTGTTCACATGCCTGAAGTGGTCAGGGGTCATCAAAGGGCAGCTGTCCACTATAAAGGGCCGTCTGCACAGAGCATCACTTCAGCCTGAGACCAGCTGGAGGAAGGACACAGACCTTTTCCTCTCTCTCTCTCTCTCTCTCTCTCGCACTCTTTTTTACTCTTTCGGACTTTAAAAAAAAAATGGAAGCGAGGGTCTTCACAGTTTTCTGCACGCTCCTCCTCTGCTCTTCTGCGGCTGTTTTCTCCTCTCAGGGTCGGAGGCATCGCTCGGGCCTCGAGTCTGGTTTCAGAAATCTGTCGGTGAATCCCGGCAGCAGATTCCCTCCGTACATGATGCAGCTATACCGCTCCTTCAGGACGGCCGATTCCTCGCCGTCAGACTCTTTGACCGCACAGGGGGACAACCTGTCAGCGCAGAGCTCCGACTCTGTCCTCAGCCTTGTAGCCAGAGGTGAGTAAACACTTCATCGCATTATGTTTTCTTTCTGTAAACTGTATCATGTCCTGTCTGTGTGAGTTTGCAGCTCTGTGTGTTATCTGTGTTATCAGACCCCTCCCTCTTTACAACCCCAGCAAGTGTCAAAATGCTTATTGGACTTAAAAGGCTCCCTTGTGTTTTTATGTGAGAGGGTGTGTATATTAGCCCTCAGACGTCCTTGCACAGGGGGGTTCAATACACATCCTGTCCCTGCTCTCCCCTCCCACTGCTCTGTGTTTTGACATTTGTCCAGGGATCTGCTTTTCCCCCTGAGAACATCCAGACTGCTCATCTCTTATTCCGTCTTAACCTTCAGGTTGTCATCAAGACGGAGGAAGATGGACGATCTCGTTTGACATGTCGTCCGTCTCTGCCGGTGAGCTCGTTCAGTCGGCAGAACTCCGGATCAGACTCCCAGCGTTCTCCGGATCCAAGCGGGCCACGGTGGATTTGTATCACTCCAGGAAGCAGAGCTGTGACCCTGACGGCGCGTCGTGCCACCCAGATGAGGAGCTTTTCCTGGGGAGTTTCATCACATCGCCCAGCAGCTCGAAGTCTTCCTGGAAGGTGTTTAATGTGACCGCTCTGTTGAAGTACTGGCTGCATCAGGGAGGCAGAGTGTCGGGACAGGAGCGTCAGGGGAGCCCGAGGAGGATCATGGGAGCGGAGGTGGACGCGAGGGAGAGGTGATTTTTAAGAATTTGGGATCGAGGCGGAGAAAGACTCTCCATCCGACGACAAACCGGGTCATGATGGTCATCTTCTCCAAACACAGCCTGCCACAGGAAAGCCACAGTCTCCTTCACACCGTGGAGAACTCCAAGTATGTGACCACGGACAGAGCGAGCAGCGATGGGCAGAGTCGACGCCACAAAAGGAACAGGATGGAGAGGATGAGGGTGACGGATGGAGATTCTTCTACAGCTGCTCCGCCGACACCAGCAGCAGCAGCAGAGCCGTCTCAGAGGACGCTGTGTCGGAGGGTGGACATGTGGGTGGACTTCGACCACATCGGCTGGGACGAGTGGATTGTTCACCCGAAGCGCTTCAATGCGTACCGCTGTGAGGGCGAGTGCCCCTCCCCCCTGGACGACTCCTTCCATCCCACTAACCACGCTTACATGCAGGTGAGATTAAAGTTTTCCGCTCTTCACAAACGTCTCAAACATTCCTTGTTTTTTTGCTGTTTTCTTCACATGAAATGTTCTTTATTTTTCTTTCTCCAGAGCCTCCTGCGTCATCACCACCCTGAGAGAGTGTCCTGTGCGTCCTGCGTGCCGACGCGCCTCAGCCCGCTCTCCATGCTGTACTACGAGAGCGACGACCTGGCCCTGCGGCATCACGAGGACATGATAGTAGAAGAGTGCGGCTGTCACTGAAGGCCGGATGAAGCACGATCCTGAAGACACTCAGTTTAAAAAAAAAAACATTAAATGGAAAATGTTACTGATGGATTTCTACAACAAACCACTAAATGTGACTTTTCATCCATACTGGGTGATTCACGTTAAAATATATAAATGTGATAAGGAGAAATCCATGAATCCAATGTTTTAATTTTAATCTATTTATACCTTGTAATATATATTTTGTACATAAATATAAAAAAATATATAATAAAACATTTTATTTTGACTTGGTTTGAAGTTTTGTGTGTTTTTTAATGGTTCACTTTTTGGGTTAAATTGGTTAAATTATTGTCAAATACTCTTAATATTTATTCATAGACAGAATAGAAAAGAATACTTTGTGTATTTTTGTATGCAGCAGGTAGAAATGTGTCTTTGACATGGATGTAAATATATGCCCTTCATTTTTAGCTTTATGATTATCAATGCCCCGAACTTGATATGATATAAAAACAGCATTAATCACCTTTGCATCCTGTATGATAAAGTTGGTCATCCGTCAAACATTTAGACGAGACGGGCTGCTCTTTTATTTATAAAGCACTTCCTGATGACCGACCAGCGTACATCACTCCTCTCTTAATCTGAGCTGATGATCAGTATCAGACTCGATGATGCTGAGGGTTCCTCGAGTAAACATGATCAGGAAAACATCCTTTACCTTTTGTGCTGCTTACACCTGAAGACATTAAAAAACACATTAAAACCAGAGCCGACCGATTCATCAGCTTATCAATCGACTATCAGTATCGGCTATTTCTTATTTTTTTTAAGATTCATTTTTTGGGCTTTTTGTGCCTTTAATGGAGAGATAGGACAGTGGATAGAGTTGGAAATCAGAGACAGAGAGAGAGGGGTATGACATGCGGGAAAGGAGCCTCAGGCTGGAATCGAACCCGGGCCACCCGCTTGGAGGACCACAGCCTCCATACATGGGGCATGCGCACTAACCACTGCACCACCAGCGCCCCAGTATTGGCTAATTTGATCACATATGCACCGATATTACTCGATTTATTCACCAGTCAAAAAGCATTTAATTTGAGTTTCAGTGTATTACACTAGCAGCTCTCTTTCACCAGCTGAGTGTGCTTTACTCTCCAGTGACGCACGTACATGCACAGTTCTAGATGAGTGACCATCTTGTCTTCTTTATATATCATAAGTGTTCATAACTGAGGGATCAGAGTATTAAATGTGTTTATTTATATCCATCTATCTCTACAGATTGAACATAGATCGCAGAAAGATATCGGACGATATATCGGTATCTGATTTTTTTTTTCTCCCCTGTATCGATTATCAGTATCGGCCCCAAAAAACACATATCAGTCGGGCCCTACTTAAAACTCAATACAATGGTTACCATGAGTCAATTTAAAAACGTGATGACAAATCACCGTGCTCATGAGTGTAAATGTTTCTGTGGTTGCCCGCTCTGCTGGCTTATTCTTATAATCTTTGTATTTTGTCGTCGTTGATTTTGGTCATCTGTTCGTTTTAATTGTTCTCTCCACATCATTGTAAATCAGGGCTTGTCCTCAATGATTTCTCCAGAATGAATAAAAGTTGAATCAGTTGTAAAAGATCCAAATTAAACTTGTGTTATTATACACGCTTATAACGTCATGCAAGTCAAACTTTTAGACTTTGTATAATGAAAAAGCCAAAAATGTGTCTTTGACTTGAGCAAAAACATTAAATTAAAAGTAAAAAGTAACATATTTACTCAAGTTGACATATTTTAAACTATTAAACACACCAAAAAATATTCCAGATAAACCCCTAAAAATGACTAGAAAATGATCTGTAGTGTTGAATTGCACAGTTTGAAATAAAGCTCTAAAAAAACCAAATTCAAAATCAATAGGACGTTTGTAAAAGGAATTTAAAAAACAGGATGTGATGGGGCACCGGATTGCCTTGCAGTTATGCTGCGTGTCCTCATGTACAGAGACTTTAGACCTCATCGCAGCGGCTGTGGGTTCTGAATCTGACCCCGGATCTTTGCTGCATGTCATCCCCTCTCTCTCTCTCCTCCTGTCATTTCCTGTCTCTCTTCAGCTGTCCTAATCAACCTACATTTTTAAAGAGAGAGAATCAGACAACATGCACGTATTACTTTTTAAAGTCAAAGTTTTCAGGGCTTCCTGGTGTTTAATTTACATTTAATGTTCACAAAAAAAGGCATCAAGTGTCTCATGTATTATTAAAATTCATTTGCCCCGCTCTTGTGTCTTTGCAAAACCTTCTGATTTTTGTAATTTTAAAAAAATATCCAAAAGTTGAGAGGTGGGTTTTTATCTGGATTCAGTTCCAAGTGATTTTTAATCTTGAAACTGCAGCTTGTTTACACACAATACATCTCCTCCTCAGAGGCTCAACCTGCTCACAGAAACTCATCTTACATCTTAATCCCACTTACCTCGCGTGGCTTGTGACCAGCTCACATCTTTAGTGTATTTGCCTTCCTCGCCTCCAATCCACATCCAGAGCTCACGTCATCACAGCTCATTAGTGTCCGGGCTTCTTTTGTGGATTGTGATCAAACAGGAGAGCTACACAAAATGAGTGGCGCAGCAAAGGGGGGGAGAGGGAGCAGTAGCATTTGTTTACTTTAGGGAAGGAGGGGAGGTGGGGGGGGTGTCAGGAAGCAGAGGTGACAAGGGGAGAAACAAACACAGAGCGACGTGAGGGAGTGCAGAGAGTCACCGTCTGGATGCTGGAGCTACTGTGGAGGACGGACCGGCTGGACTGGATCTGATCAGCTGAAACGGTTCAATCCACACGTCTGACACAGAGCAGACTCCTGCTTTCAGTCGGATTCAGGTCATGTCTTTTCTTCAAACTGCCTACTCAACAAGCAGGTCTAAACGTTGGACTGAACATGGATTTTTATGCTCATTGAGGAAGAATTTATGACGTCTGGCTGCATTATAACCACACATGAGAATCAACACGAGGCTTAGAAAGGTCAACTCAAAGCTCCTGTGAGCAGATTTTAACTGCTAATAAAACAGACTGAAAGTAATAAAAGTCCTGAAACCAAGCACACAAGTCCTTCAGCAACAAGATTTCTTTCTTTTTTCTTATTGTAAAGCAGAACACCACTGCTGCAGGGTAGGTGTCATCCAGATTACCTTTACTGGTCCCACAAGGTGAGAGGTTGTTCTTCTCTTCACCCACTCTGCAGCCATAAAACAACAACATTCAACATCGTTCACATTAAACATAAAACACTGAACATAATGAAATAATGCCAGGAAATATTTCTAAGACAACACTTGTTGAGTCATAAACTGTCTTAATGTAAGAATTTAAATAAAACTCTTCAAAGATAAGGATTGAATCCACTTCAGAATAAATCCAGTACAATGTGTGCACAGTGACGGAGCTGGAACAGAACAGCTGATGACATGACCCCGTCCAGCTCTCAGAAGAGAGAGGGGGGGGGGTCTCGCCCAGCTGTGTTCAGTCGTATATTGACCTCTCTTTATACACTCCACTGACTGAGGTTATCAGTTGGCCGTGAGCTCCAGGAGGAATTCCTCTGATTGGACGTGTGCTGCTCAGGATGTTTAAGCAACATGGAAACAGTCGAGACGTTTCATGTAGAAACGTATATTCGATTTTTTACATACTTTAAAGCTGCTGTGAGGAGTTTTTTATCTGGTTATGAGACAGACTGAAGTTCATTCTCGTGCTTCTTTATAACATTTGTAAAGCGAGCAGGATCATCAGCAGCAGGTTAGAATATTTCTGTGCAGTCACTTCAATGAAACACAGGGCAGGGTGCAGACAAAGGGAGATTCAGTAACTGCATGTTTTTAAAAACAGAAGGGTGAGTTTTTTTCCCTTACCTACACCAAAACAGTTTCCTGCTCAGTGCACGCTCCTAAACAAGCTCTCACAGTTATAAACTGCTTTTTAACACACCAGACAAAACAAAAGTCGTGCTGCTCTCAAATGCAAAATCTGAACCACCAAAACCAGCCTTCTTATCCTCTTCTCAGGGAACAGAAGCCGAGCCTGTTTGGAGCTACAGATCTCTCTGTACTTCAAGTGATTTATGGATCTCTCTCTTCATATTCAGCAGCTATTAAAATGGTTGAAGCTGAAACTTGTTTTTTTTTTTACTTAAGAATCAAATCCTGCCTCTCTTTTGAATCCATTGTACTGCTTGCTGTCTCTTTTCTGTCTACAGTGATGTTTTATATTTGTATGCATCCCTCGTCTCAAAGCGGGGGGGGGGGCGATGGCCTGGTGGTTATGTTGCATGCCCCATGTTCAGAGGCTGTAGTACTCAGTGCAGCGGTCATGGGTTTGAATCTACCCTCGGCCATTTGCTGCATGTCATCCCCCCCCTCTCTCCTCTCTCACCTCCCTCTCTGTATGGGGCATATATCAAGGTCAAGGTTTCTTTATTCGTCTCTCTAGGGAGAAATTTGTCTTGGATGCTGGGAAATTGCTGCATGGACAATACATCAGAACGATATAAACACAGGAATTACAAATGTGCAAAAACATTACAAACATACTTATCCGTGCTACAGTTTACCCAATCATCTGCTTAAGTATCCACACACGCGCACACGCGCACACGAGCACATGCCACTCCAAACACTTATGGTTTCATACATATATACATGGCTACAGTTACCGGTACATTGGGGGCCTCCTGTTTTTCCATTCATCCTCTATTTTTTTTGCTCATTAATGAGCTTAACTGAAAAAGGAACTAATGAGTTTTTGAAGCGGTTGTGTTTGCACAGAGGAACATATTCGGAGTGCAATACATGGGATGTGTCCGATAAGATGCCGTTGGCCTGTGTGATTGTGGCCTGCTCAAAAAGATCCTGGGGGGCAAGAGGGCAACATAACCACTAGTTCTTAAAATATTCAAAAAATGATCAAGTTGACAGGACATGGAAGATTTCTTGTCTGAAATGTATGAACACAGTAAATACATCAACTACAGGTGTGTGTGTGTGTGTGTATGTTTGTTCTGAGGTTTTTGTATGTAGTTCAATCATCGTATAGCAACACATTCCAATGTATTTTATCATGCCCTGACCCTGAGGTTCACCTCAATGATGTTTTTTCTTTATGGATGTTTTTCACCTTTTAGGTTTTTTGAATGTTTGACCCACGCCTCTGC